TGACAAAACTGATAACCAAACGCCCGAATTTCATAAAAATAAACCAATTTTTATGTACTACACATGTTCCCGTGACATTTACGAATTCTCGCAATAATGTTTATATGAAAACATTCCACGGCTGTGCAAGTTAATAGAGTATTTCATAATAGTAGGCCCCACAACAAAGAAACAGAAATACAAGCTGAATCAAACAGGCTTTTATTGTGTGACATTAATATTATTTACTACATTGAATGATGAAATTAGACATTTAATATTTCATCAAATAATTAAGAATGCTTTACCTATATTATAAATCCACAGTAATTAATAAAAAGTATGGAATTGATTTGCAGTAAAGTATATATGTATGTACTAGAAATAAAACACTCATACGTACAAACACATACACACAAACACAAATGTATGCACATATGTTTATGTGTTTGTATATGAGTGTGGCTGTGCGTGTGTGTGTGTGTGTGTGTGTGTAAGCCTCCGTCATCTCCAGTAAAAATGTATCCTGAAATGAAAAAATAGAACGCAAGCATAAATACAACTCAACTTCTTGTATGGTTGATAAATAAATATTGGAACTACTTGTTAAAGCAATACATACGCATCCAGAAATATAAATTAAATATTCGTTTAATATTTTCCTTATTATTATTTTATTATAAAAATGCGTTTTTCTATTTTATTTATGTAAAATATAACGTCTTTCACCTATTAAGTACTGTGTCTTCGTAAAAGTTCTTCAAAGGAATAAGAGAGATGATACTCGTAGATGTTCAAGACGCGACAGTTCAAAGCACATTTATTTTAATTGTGATTCATGCATATATACGAAACACAAGCCTATTTAGTTGTACAGACATTTTTATATTAAATTATATAGAAAATAAAATTATTTCTTCTAATAGAATCCTATAATTCCATTTACTGACGAAATTTTTCTTTAATATTCTGACACATTTCAATTAGAATAAAATATAAACAATTCAGGATTTTACCATTTTAATCATGAGAGATAGCAACTTTTAATCCTGATCAACTTTCGTTGATTTATTTAAAAGAAACTGCTTTTATTTTATCCTTTTACAAACTGGCCTGTGGAAATTGAAGCTCTAGGTTGAAGAAATTTACAAAATCCATACTGAAATGTTGAAATGAAAGTTCAAAATTTCCTGAAATCTTAAAATACGTAGCTCGTACATTTCTATATGAACTTCTGATTCTCAAAATTTTAATTACGGTACGATTTTTAATATTATTACAGTAACATATATTTTTATTTAAATTTTATTTTTCCTAAGTTAATTTTCTCTAATCAATCATCTTTGCTGAAAAAATTAAAAAAAATATTTTTCAGATTTACTAAACGAAAAAGTTTTTCAAAGAAATGTTTGTAATTAAAGCTTTGAAAAGGAATATTTTTTCAAATTAATTCATTGCAATTATTTATTAAATGCCAAAATATTTAATTTTAAAATTTAGGATGCAATTACGCCTGTTCATTAGTGCCTATTCGAATTCCTCTCAGAATTGAAATAAGCGAAGCGTCGCTTTCAATGGGCTAGTTGCTTTATTACATGCGCTTATATCGTTTGCGATGCTTACAACTTGGATTTATATCACGAAATCATTGAATAAATCAATACCCTTAGTCCAGATTGTCATTGTCAGGAAATACGAAACGTTGACGGTTTTACATCCACAGTGCTTTGTACATTATGATGTTAATGTAGGTTATTAAATAAAAAACGAAAAACGCTCTATATGCATGTAGTATGGCGATGGCAACTTGTACTAAACATTGTTTCATAAAAAACATACATATATACAAATTACAAATAGCTACTATAACGTTACTTTTCTGGAGCGTTCTTACCACATAGGACCCAAATATAAATCAATAAATATTGACAAATTATATTTTTTGTCTATAGCATTTTAATAATAATTGAAGTAACTATTACTTTAATACTAGAAAAATATAATATAATAAATACATAACTTGATCAGAATCTAATGAGATTAATATCCTCTTTAACATTTAAAAAACTTTAAAAAACAGATAAAAAATATTATTTAACTTTTTTAAACAAATTTAAATAAGGATATAAAATGTATAAGCCGGAAGTATGATAATAATTTGTTGAAAAAAAAATTTTTTTAAGGGAAAATGTTCTCATTGAGTATAATTTCCCGTGAGATTATATTATAACGCCAGAAAAAGAGAGGCAAATTTCCGTGTTGTCTTGTTGAAATGAGGGATTACTTACACCTTCACTCATTACATTTTTTCCTTGGGGGAAATTATATTATTTAGACTGTGGATATCATATTTTTTCTTGGTGAAAAACTCGAGAGTTTATATTTTTATTTAAATTGAGGGATTAGCTCCCTAATTTGACGAAGTACAATGTATGCAGATAGCTTTTTATATACCTACTATAAATATAATGTACGAATCTGGAGAACAATTCTGGTATATTTGAGAAAGTAGCCATTTTATATTTGTATTGTTTTTTCTTCTTTTACCAATTTCATGTGTAGGAATAATATTTTGTAAAGTCACCTTGTAACCAATCATAAGCAGGAGAAGGATAAGTAATGCTTTGTTTCAAATTATTTTTTTCAACTGCATCTAACCAATCTTGTAACCAATGTAATATTAAATATTGGTTACTTGAAAATAAACTCAGTGTAATGAATATGCAGTTGAACATAATTTAGTGTAGGTATTTTTATTAAAAGACACTTCATGTTAAGTAGGAGCTCTAAAATCTAAATGATAGCGAGCGATATCTTGTTGACATATATAAATTTTAAAGAAACTGTTAAAGACTAATATGTATTATTAACATACAAAACAATTTTATACTTTTTTATTACCAGAAAATAATTAAGTATAAAAAGTTTTTTCTTAACTTAAGCTTAGCATTACACTTTAGATTATTTAACTAGTACATATTATAGAAATAGCTATTATCCACGATAGCAATTGAAAAGAAAAACAAAAGTTGAGTCATCTATCTAAATAATAGACAACAGATTTCATCCCAGAAGACTTGAAGACTTGAAGACAATACCAAACTTGTAAGAAATATAATCAGAGACAGGATACTTACATAACATAGCCATTAATTTACATAACTCTCTTGACAAGCCTTCCCTAACTTGTCCGAAACACACCTGCGACCCTAACAAGACTTACTAATGACGGAATACAATGTTACTATATCTTTACATGAGAGGATCGTTAGTTATAACTTATAGTAAACGATTAAAACAGTCTTGGTACCTAGTACATTAAGTTTAAAGGAATTTTATAGACAAAAAATACAAGAATATTATCTATTTCTACTTCTTTATCTGAGTGTATTAATGTTTTGACAATCGTCTTCAATCGTCAAAGAAGAAATGTAAGAAATAATAGATGTAAAAAATCCACTTCCAATTAATTCTTATAATTTACAATTAACTTAATTGAAAAAAAAATTGCATTCAGCACGTCTCTTAGCGATGAAGTTAGCTGGTAAATAATTAAAATATAAAAATATATATACCTACATATATGTGTGTGTATATGTGTGTTATCTTCTTACAAATGTTAAAATATATTTTATAAGTTATTAACGACAATAGCACTTAAGTGTTTTTATACATATATCGTTGGTTTAATCTTTAAATTCAACCTTAAAATTCAGATTTCGGAATATTTGCAGTCCTCTCTTTTAAATCTACATTAAAATATTTTTTAAAATATATTCCTGATGCTATTCATATAGCCAAAACCAGCAATGTAGAGCAGATTTGAAATATAAGTGTAAGCCAGTTTATAGTTCACTCAGGTTTCGAAATTTTCTCATTTCTTAGTATAAGAAAATGGTACCATTCCTTGCACATTTTTATGACGTTAAACAGGATCAGAGAGTTTTATATCTATTTCATTATTTAAATAATTTTTCATAATCAATAATTTTATTTTATATTACAGTGATTTTAGCTTTAAATTTGTCAGTTTTTTTTATGTACGCTATGTCTTTTCTGCACTGAAATCGTAGAATATTCTGCACATGGCAACTTTTTTAGTTGGTAGAATTAAAATCTTGAGTGTTATGTGGATAAATTTTTATTATTGCAGCAAACTTTTAAACGATTTGATAAAATTGAGGTGGCAATTGCGGACAGTAAAACTGTGTTGCCACACTCCCGGGCATAAATTTTTTGATTTAATTATTTGAAAAATATTTTGTCATCAGCCTATTAGAGCCCACTGCTGAGCAAAGGGCTCTTTCTCAGATAGAGATGGTTTGAGCATTAAACACCAAGCTTGCTCAAGACGGGTTGGTGATTTCAAACTTATAATTGTGAAATTATAAGTCCAGGTTTTCTCACATTTTTTTTCCTTCACCGTTTGTCAGTGGTGTTTAAATACTCTAAGAAAATACATATGACTCGGAAAAATCACATTGGTACTTGCCAGGATCGAACCCGCGCCCTCGTGCATGAGAGGCAGGCCCTTTAACCACTAGGCCACCAGTGGCTTAAATAATATTTATCACTGACTATAATTAACTTTATTTCTACTAATTTAGTAATCCAATCTCATATTTTGCTACATTTATAATTAAAAAAATATACGCTGCATATTTTATTAATAAAAATTATCTAAGCAAATGACGCCAAAACACTTTTCTTCAAGTTATTTTGTTATATCCAATTCTCTAAATGACACATACCTCGCAGTCTCAATCTCCTACTTTTAAATAGAAAGAATTTGGAGGATAAAATTAAAATAAAAATCATTTTCCTTATATTTCTTTGCTAATTCTCCTGCTGTATAATTTGATATTTTTTATAAAATCCAAGAAAACACATAATATATTGATTGAACCATATTGTTTTATTATAACATTTTGCCTTAGAATTGTTACATAATGCTGTTACATAACAATTTGATTAAAACTTAAATAACATTAACATTTTATCTACAACTATTGCTTATAATTTTAATACATAGCTAAGACTTTTTCACATCTTAAACACTTATCACTATTATCTATGGCATTATATTTCCTACATCTCAAACATTGGCCATTTTTACTCTGTGTCAAATCTATGAGCATATTCGCGCCATTATTTAATCTGACAGATGACACTTCTAGAATTTCACATAAAACACTATCATTGATACCATCTGTATGGTTTAATTCATTTAATTTATCAAATAAATCTGAATTTACTGTTAAGTTAACTTCAAATTTCTTCAAATGTTCATTTTTAGTATTCAAGGTAATGTTTCTTTTGATATCCAATATGGCTTCTATCAACGACGAATCAGCATCAGTCGGCTTCAAAACTGGTAGATCTTTGGTGAAATAAAACGGTTCTTCATATAATGGATGATACTGCCACACTTCTTCGATTAAATGAGGCAAAATTGGTCCTAAACCCCTACACAGCGAGACTAGAATCGTATGAATCACAAGCTGAGCTGCAAGTCTCTCTTTAGAATTTTTCATTGAACAGTACAACCTATCTTTAATACAATGGCAATACAATCCGGATACTTTATTACTTATAAAATATAATACATTTTGCGCGACGTGATTGTATCTAAAATTATTGTAATGATGATTTATTTCGTTCATAAAGCTATAACATTCTGATACCATGAATTGGTCGAAGAAATTTAATGTCGGTTTTCGGTCGAAATCTTTTTTCCCTAAATCGTTGATCACACCGAGTAGGTATTTCATTATGTTTCGGATCCGTACTACTTCGTTCTGACAGTCTTCTAGAAGTTTCTTACTGATAACTATTTGGGAATGTTGAGTAGAATGACTCGCCACCCACCACCTAAAACACAAAAGGTGAACATGTAAATAATAGCAAAAAGTTTTAAAGAAAAGAGGTTTAATAAATATTATTTTGAGAACTTATTCAATAATAGATTTCATACAAATCTGTTAACATTTGCTATAGGAAAGAATTTCTTTGAGTTTTTTAGCAGTACCTACTCAAGAGAAACGTTTTTTTTATATAATTTATGTGTTGAAAAAGTTATGTGATTTTTGGGAATGATTCTCACATACCTCAGTGTGTCAACACCGTAAGCAGTATTCTTCTTGTCACCGAATATTATGGTTTTCGGGTCAATGACATTGCCGATGGATTTTGACATTTTTCGTTTCTTATCATCAACTACGAAGCCGTGCACGAATATCGATCTATGGAAAAATATAAAGATAATTAAACAAAAAGACACCCCAACAAAATACTGAAATTTTTACCTTAAATTTCATATTGACCATTTGATTGGTGATAAAATATAATAATATCTACTATTTAGTAATTAAATACGTGTTCTACTAATTTACGGATAAAAAAACTGTATTTAGATATGTTTAGAACATTAACTTTATTCAAGAGAGATTTCTTCAGAGCATATATATATAAGCTATTAATTATAATATATATACAAGCAAGAAAATTTTATAAACAGTATCTTTAAGTAACTCACTCGTACGGCGCTTCACCCTTCAGAGCGAGAGACGTTAGTAATGAGGCTTGGAACCAACCAGTGAGTTGGTCAACACCTTCAGAGTACAGGTGAGCCTTACGGTCCAGGGTGTGCCAGGAAAGACCAGAGTCCAGCCAGATGTCCATTATATCCTGAAATATATATGAAATTTATTGAAGGTTCAATAAGACAACGAAACAAGATAAATTCTGTAAACATCAAGACATATGTACATATTTTTCAGACTTAGAATGTTTTGTTATTGAATGCTGTTGATATTCTATGCAATTATATTTCAGAATTATAAAATATAGAAACTGCAACTTCAATTTTAGATCAATCTTTTCAGTTACTCTGGCAATATTTCATATAATATATAATAATCGGTATTTTTGACCCTTATTTTTTTATATTAATAATCGTCTGGTTAAGGAATACCCGTCAAAAAAATGAAAAAGGAATTTATTGACGCGCAGGAATCGAACCCGGGTCAATACATTTTTAAGAATTAAACTTATGATATCTCTCGACTTCTATAGCCCTACACCTCACCTTTCCTTTAATAATTTCTTCACAATTCACGTTATATTTCTCAGCAATGTTCTTTGGTATGAGATCCTTCACATCGCAAGTCCACCAAACATCTGTACCGTGCTTGTCTATGAGAGAACACATATTCTCTATGATTTCCCTACAAAATACCTATGTACTAATATTAAAGTTCACAATATCACATAATAATATGGAAGGAATCACTAAATAATAGAAAAAAAGGCTGTATAATTTCCAAAAATCACTATACAAGGAGTTTTAGAAACAACATCAATATACATTTGTAGATTCTTTGTATGGGAGGTCTTTGTACACTGGTTGCTTCATCATAATATGAGAATAACCAAAATATACAGAACGGGGAAGCATAAATTGTTAAACTCCTAAGAGATCCGTTTATACTGGTCTATATATTAATAATTAAATGTCCAGTTAATTATGACCTATATACTTACTCATCAACAATAACTTCTCTATCCTTATACAAAGCCGGTATTGGCACGCCCCAGGCTCTCTGCCTCGATATACACCAATAGGGCCTCTTTTCCAATTGAGCACGGAAGCCCTGTCTTGACTGGTCAGCAGTGGAAGGTGGTAGGATAGCCACTTTATCTAGAGCTGACTAAAAATTATCTTTAATATTACACTAAAATCCAATTTTAATAGAATCAACATGATTGTTAAATGTAATAAATAAATCTATTAATTTAAATATTGGTCCTAAAACAACATTTAATATCCTCTTATTGTTGTATTTTTTTTACATGTTAACTTCTATGTAAATTTATATAATTAATTAATATCTCTAATATTATATTAAACTTCTACACCCAGTCTATTTAGTTTTGGTGTTCCTAAATAACTGTTGGTGTATTTAAATCAAGTTCTGAATTTCATCTAAATTAATTTAGCCATTTCCATATATTTTTCAATAATACTATGGAATATTTCTTGAAAGTACAGTTAAAGTTTAAAGTTACCAAAGAAAAACACCTCTTTCATACAATTTATGATATAAAATATCTCACTAATCTTTCAATATATTAAAGAGCTCACCAATGCTGTTTGTTTCAAGGCATTCGTATCTATGAACCATTGATGGCTAGCCCTTAGTATAACCGGTTTTTTGGTTCTCCAATCCAATGGATAGGAATGTGTGAATATACCCTCGTATATAATAGAATCTTGGTACTTCTTCATCACAGTTTCCTGGCCTTCCTTCAACACGTATAGTCCGTCCAAGTCAGGCCCAAGATCTATATAACGGCCATGTTCGTCTACATTGCACTCCTGGAAAAACAAACATTGCGTACTTATTAAGCAATGCCAATGTGTGTGTGAAGACATGTTAAAATATATGTGTGTGTGTGTGTGTGTGTGTGTGTGTGTGTGTGTGTGTGTGTGTGTGTGTGTGTAGGAAAAATATTTCCATAGTTAAACCAAACAACATCTTAAGTATTGTCTTTTATAGCTTATTGTGCGACTTCATACAAGGTTGCGTTCAACGTTTATCGCTCCTGCGGGAGGGACGAAAAGAGACAAAGAGGGAATACGTAGAGCTCAAACGCATGCGGAAATTTCAATAAAGTTTATCTTAAACAAACACAAACAATTCCTTGAAAATCAATTTCTATACCTTCCTGCTTTCATTCTTATATTACAAGGTTTCACTTCTTGGAGGAACTCGATGCACAATCAATTTTTTTGCATAAATATTAGTCTTTGTGTCTTAAAATTAGTATTTCCATTCAATTATACTCACCACAGTAATATTATTATTGAGAGCAACAACAAAGTCATCTGGTCCATGTGCGGGTGCTGTATGAACTAAACCGGAGCCCTTGCCACTGGTCACATGTGGGCCTGGTATTAGCGGCATAATGTGTGTCAGACCTTTATAAGTTGTGGCTGATAGATGATGACCTTTGGTAAAATAAAAAAAAAGTAAGATAAATTCTTGTATAGTTTTTTTTTTTTTTTGTAAATGTCTTAGTCGATTTATTGTTCCAGTGTCGTTTATCCAGCCAGTGTCAATTTCAAACCAAAAGATATAGTTTAAATTAACAGTGGGAGTTTCAATGGAAAAAATGCTTCATATAAAATTCCTCTGATAAAGCAGAACTTAAGCAAATACTAAATAAGAAAGCTATTTGTATTTACTACAACTAATAAGTACTTTATTATATTATAGTAAAGAAATTATTATTATTCAAAAATAATCTTATATGAAAATGTTGATTAATACATTATGTATACATCTAATGTCTACCATTGTAGTATTAAAAAACAATTGTATTAATTTTTTTAAACTTACCCTCAAATTCCACAACTGTAGATATTTCACAGTCCAATACTCTCTCTAGTTCTTGAATCTGATCTTTAGCAATAAGGAAAAGCTCGGATCTTTTACTCATTCTGACGACACAGTACACCATACTGGGGTTGTAAGCTATCGCCTTGTTAGCAACTAATGTCCAAGGAGTCGTTGTCCAGATAAGAGCAAATATTTGCTGGCTGGCAACATTATGAATTAAAAAATAATGTTTACACTATAATGCTATGTATATGTAAACAAATCAATAATTATTTACACAGAATTAAGAATTTATGAACTAATACTGTAAAAAAGTTTAAGAACCATATAATTTTAGTTAAAATAACAACAATATTATTTGAAGTTCATGAGAATTTTATATTACTTACTTAGCACAGATTTTCTTCACTAAATCAGGAACTTTCTCCATAGGAAATTTAAAATAAACCTCTTTGCTTTTGAAGTTAGGATCATATTCCAATTCCGCTTCAGCTAGTGCTGTTCTAGACAACAAAATAACTAGTTTGTAATATATTATTAAAAAATATCTTAAACTAGAGGCAAGAATGTACTGAGTACTTATGTATTCTCAATGACTCAGGAATTCAGACAATATTTAGTGACTTTTCTCAGTTAATTTATATACAAAATGTTATGGTGAAAATAATTGATAATCTTAATGAAAATCCAATATATACCTTGAAGATGGAGACCAGTAAACTGGTTTAAGTGCTTGGTAAATTAAACCGGATTTGTACATTTTATAAAACAATCGCAGTTGGTTCTGAACATAATTTTTATTCAGAGTTAAATAACACTGCTTTTCCCAATCAGCCATTATACCCCAGCTCTCAAAAGCTGCTTTTTGGTTCTTAACAGTTTCAAGTGCAAAGTTTCTTGCTATTTGTCTTGTTTGGACTGGGTCGGTGGGTTCGTTCTTGCTTTTTGTTTTCTGGAGAGCTTTAAACTCTATTGGAAGTCCGTGGCAGTCCCAGCCTGGGACATAATGTACTTTATTACCCTGAAGAATCTGACTTCTGTTGTTTATATCCTTAATGATCTATAAAATATTGATAATATTTTAATAGAAATATTAGTTATGTATAAATATTAAAACTTTTGTGTAATTAATTTAAATACCTTGTTAACAGCATGCCCCATATGTAAATCTCCATTTGCATAAGGTGGCCCATCATGTAAAATGAATTCTGGACCAGTTAAATGTTCCCGTTGCCATTCATAGAGTTCGGCAAACTTCGCAGTCTAAATAACATTTAAAGTTTATATGTAATCTGATTATTTGTGTTTAAATTGACAAATTACTTATAAGAAACCGACAATTATTGTGAAATACATGATATAAAAATAATTTCCAAAAAAAAACTTTATTTAACCAGGTTAAAATATTTAAATTTACAAATTAATCATTAAAAGTAACTTTATAGCATATTTTTTATTGCTACCTTTTGAATTTTCTCTTTGTTGACATTGGATCTAGCCGGAAAATTTGTTTTAGGGAACAAAACTGTGTGAGAGTATGTTTTTGTTTTTGGTTTTGTTGAACTTTCCTCTCTCGTGCAAGCGAAGCAGGTCCATTTTATGTGTGATTTTCTAAAACTATTATGAAAAGTTCTTAAATTGTATGTTTTGAGCATTTTAAGGTTATTATTTTGACAATTCCTATTATTTATGTAATGTAAAGTTGTAAACTGGATTCTGGAATTTGAGTCCGTGAATTGTCTATTTTCAATAAAACAGGTATTATATTATGTTGTGGTTTTAAGGGACTTTTTAAAAAAATAACTTAATATTTGTATAATTAGTACTATATTAATGTAGTTTAAATCATAAAATTGCGACACAAATTACTGTGAACTTCCAAACGTAAAGTGACAAAGTGATTGTCAAACTTGATAGAAGTCCTTTCAAACAGTGTCTGCCAAAACAACACATGTTCTTGTGAATAAATCTTGAAAACAAATAATTATTCCAAAATGGTAACGAACTATTAAACAATTTTTTATTAGTATAATTAAATATATTTCATCGTTATAATGTTTGTTGCAGCCGAAAGCGAAGAAAAAGTTCATAGATCGCAAGAAAGCAGTAACTTTCAATTTAGTGCATAGATCACAACGAGATCCCTTAATCGCCGATGAAACCGCTCCTCAGCGTGTGCTTGTGCCCGTAAACGCCAGTATTCCTGTAAAAAAAGAAAAGGAACCTGTAAGTAATTTATAACCTACTTTGTTTTCTATGTAAATTATGTTACTCAGTATTTTAAACAAATATTATGTAGTTGTTCGATGCAATCTTTCTAGACCAACTCAACTTTTACGTAACAATTGCAATTAATATGTATGTTATATAAATTTTAGGATTTATCAGTTGAACAAAGGAAAGAGGAGCAGAAAAAATATGGCATATACTTTGATGATGATTACAACTACCTTCAACATCTTAAAGATACCAGGGAAGTTACAATGGTGCTGCAACCTGTGAGTAAATGTGTAGTATATATTATATAAAATTAGACCAAAACTTTCCTGAGCATTCATTTAAATAAAACAAATATATTGAGATTATTTTCAAAACTATATACTTCTGATGTTTCGGTTACTTTGGAGCAATCATGATCATGGTCAGATGATATCAGATTATATATAAGTTTTAATACCCTGAAAATAATAATGAAATTATATAATTGTACATACTCAATGTTTTTACAGAAAGTGTCACATAAAGGGAAAAATAAAGTTAATGACGAAGTTGTTAGTGATCAGTTTGATGATGGTATAGGAGAGAAATTACAATTGCCAAGCTCGGTTTTTGCTTCAGAGGTCGAAGAAGATGTTGGATTGTTGAATAAAGCTGCTTCACAAGGTATATGAGATATATTTTACTAGCTTTCTGCCCGCAGTTTCGCCTGCATGTAGTTTGGTTATATCGCTTTTCCAAGAGAACCTTTCAAAAGTCTGATATAAAAACTATCCTATGTTCTTTCTCAATGTCAACTTTATCTCTATACCAAATTTCATTAAAATTGGTTCAGTGGTTTAGGTGTGAAAGCGTAACAGACAGACAAACAGACAGAGTTACTTTCGAATTTATAATATTAGTAGGGATTAGATCTCTACTAATTACATATCATCATAGCCTGTCAGAGCCCACTGCTCTGAGCAAAGGCCTCTTCTCTCATGGAGAAGATTTAAGCATTAATCACCATGCTTGCTCAAGACAGGTTGATGATTCCTAACTTATAATTGGAAATTATAAGTTAGAAATCCAGGTTTCCTCACAATGTTTTCCTTCACCATCTGTTAGTGGTGTCTAAATACTCTTAGAAAGTACATATGACTAGGAAAAATCACATTAGTACTTGTCAGGCTTTAAACTGGCATCCTTATGCATGACATACAGGCCTAGATCACTAGGCCACTACAACCACTAATAATTTAAGATCATTAACATAACAAAGGAAATAATTCTTGTTTTCAGGTCTCTGTCTCCAATTAGATCCCGATGTAGTAGCTGCTCTGGATGAGGACTTTGATTTTGATGATCCCGACAATGAGCTAGAGGACAACTTCATTGAAATGGCTATGGGAGAAGGTATAATATTCTGTCTAATTGATTTCAATGTTACATAAAAATTGAGTGTATCTTAATATTAAAACTCAAATTTGAAAAATAGAGTAAAAATATATCAAAGATATTTGATAGATGAGATCAATGAGATGGCTCTTGTTTATAATTTTATATCATTGTTTGATTTTAATCCTTATACATATGATAAATTTTGTATTAACATATATTTATGTTTTTATGTTCCTTGCATTTTCTACAACTTATGTATCTAACTATTGTTAAGTATTAATTAAGAAATAACTATGTCCAATAGGTGAAGATGATGATTATGAAGATGAGGATAATGGAGATGATGAAGGCAGTATGTCCGGTGATAACTCTGATAAAGCATTTAATTCAGATTTTGAGTCTGATGATGACAGTGATAGATCACAGGTATATTTTTCCTATGTATGATATTAATGGCCTAATTATATATATGTATAATGTATTAACAACAATGATATTTTAAGCTGTTAACTAAACAGCTTAAAATATCATTGTTGTTAATATATCATTGTTGTTAATATATTGTTATAATTATATATTGTTAAAATTAACTTTTAATTTATAGTTATATATTTTGTAAATTGGTCTAAGTAAAAAATAATGATAATATGATATTTTTCTTATTTTAAACTTACATACATTTGATATATATTTAATTAAGATTCATTAGAAAAATATTTGCATTTAGTGCTTGTCAAAAACATTATATGCAATATTTCCATTTGTTTTTTATTATATATATAATTCTCAATTTAAGGAAAGAAGACCGAACATGCCATCGTGGGACAAAGACGACACAAAGTCTAGATTCTCACAATATTCTATGTCATCAAGTGTGATCAGACGTAATGAAGGTCTCTCATTATTGGACAATAGATTTGAGAAGGTATAATTATTTATTTTCCTAGTTATACAAAATTATCAAATTTCTATATACTATTATTTTAGTGTATATGTATAGGGTAGCATCAGTAAGGATTATACATCTGTATAGAACAGTTTGAATTGGTCTTATGCAAAGAGTTTGTCATTCATAAATTTTTGTGTAGCAGTCTTACCCCAAGTGTGATATATCACGTACTGGGTCTCTGCAGGCCTAAAGCGAGTTTGTAATAGACCCAAATAAATTGGGTATGATATAGAGGGGGGGAGATTATAACTTATTTGGAAAAAATATGTTCTTATCCACTGGCATATATTATTAATATAGGCAAATGATACAGAAAACTTGTTCTAATAATTATTATAATTATAACAATGTCCAGTCAGTATATTGTAGAAAAAAAAAATAGATTTAAATTTAGCAAAGATCTCTCATAACTCTACTAAGATAGTAATGCAATATTACAAGTTTTACATTTATGCACCATTTCATTTACTTGATTATATTTTATATACTTAGGAATCACATTTAATCATAACTAGGTTTTTTCCCGACTTCGTCCGTGTCAACTTCAGAATTAGAAATGTATATGCGACCGGGCGAATTCTGTTCCGAATTAGAGCCAGTAGATAAGCATACTTGGGATTTTATTTTGTTATTTTCTTTTCTGATCGAAAATGGATGAAAAGTATTCAGTCTGCCTTTTCACAAATTTTCAGCCAAATCGGTACAGCCATTCTTGTGTTTTAAGTAGTGTAACTAACGACTTTCTTCGAATGCCGTAAATATACAGATTCAAATCAAATAATACTAATATATTCCTATTCGCCAGTTGTATGCAGAATATGACGATACAGAAGTGGGAGCTTTAGACATGGATGAGATAACTGGCTTCATGCCGGAGTCACATCGCATGCTGCTGCAGGCTGCTGAGGAGTTTGAGGAATCACAACGAAGGAAGGAACTCAGCCGAGAAAATGATACCAGGTACAACAATATTATATATAAATTTAACCAACTTCCTAAAGGAATTTGAATTTTAAGAAGTTATAGATTTCAATATGAACAGTTCCTTTTTATTTTATTATTTATCATATTACATATACTGAACATATAATTTTAAAATAGTTTTTAAACTCTTCCTAATTTTGCTATATACAGTTAATATTTTTTCTTAGAGAATTCTGCTTGTTATATCCAAAGAAAACAGTGCAATACTTTTAATGTAAAATATAAGAAATAATCTTCTACTTGAACATTTTAACTTTATTAATACTAAAATTTAACTATCAAAATATAATCAAGAGTACCTTAAAGAGAAATGTCTGGGTCATTATACATTATTTTGTTACATACTAAAATAATAAATGAATAATAAGAAAAGTCAGGAGGCATATATAATGACTTGTGTGCATTTATTATTTCAGAATGAGATTCCTTCAACAAATTGCTGAGGAGTCAGATGAAGATCTTGTCTCAGTGGATGTGGACCCTCAAGAGAAGTGGGATTGTGAAACTATACTATCAACATATTCTAACTTGTACAATCATCCTAAAATTATTGAGGAACCAAAAGTGAGTTAATAATTTATATTTAAATATATTTTCTTATATCGTGATGGCCCAGAGGTTAATGCCTGCCTCTCATGTATGAGGGCGCGGGTTGGAAACCTGGCAAGCACCAATGTGATTTTTCCAAGTCATATGTACTTTCTAAAAGTATTGTCACCACTGACAGACGGTGAAAACATCGCGAGGAAACCTGGATTTATAATTACAAATTTTAAGTTTGAAATCACCAACCCATCTTGGGTAAGCATGGTGATTAATGCTCAAATCTTCTTCATGTGAGAAGAGGCCTTTGCTCAGCAGTGGTCTCTGATAGGCTAATGATGATATTTTCTTATATTACTATATTATTATTATTTATCATTATTAACATCTCCAGAAACCACCGAAAATTAAAATCAATGCGAAGACCGGTATACCTGAATCAACACTGGGAAAAGACAATAAACTCACAATGAAATCTCTGGCCAAGTTCAACGCAATGAATCAAAATGAGGATTTATCTGATGATGAACGGACCAATGCTGAGTCAGTGCTATCAACATTGAGTGTTCTGTCTATAAGGTAGATACAAACTAGCTTTATCACTCGACTTTCTTTGCAATATGTATGAGTTACATCATATGCGTATATCCGTAATAGATTTTATAAATAGGAATTTGTATAGAAAATGTAGACTGAGAATTCATCATTCATGGTTCAAGCCTTCAAAACTCTGCATATCACGAATCAGTTGCTTTACTTATAAAGCTATTGTAGCTCATATCGTAACTCTTGGGCCCTTTAGGTCTGTAACTAACGATAAGTTCCCAATAGGCCCACCCAAAATGACGTTTTCAAAGCTACTTATGTATATGGTAAAGTCAAAACTCTAATAAATGAATTAAGCAGTTTAATATTTTCACCTGTTCAGATAAGACGGATATTTATATTACTTATTCCTACATTTTTATAATAATGTATCTATTATTACAGACCTAAAGATGAAACACCAGAAGAAAAGAAAGAAAGGAAACGTTTGTTAAAAGAATACAGGAAAGAAAGAAGAATAGAAAAGAAAGCAAACAAAGAAGCGTTTAAGGAAGAGAAGAAACGACAGGAGAAAATTATGTTGAATAATAGAAATAATGTTCAAGGGAATAGGATTTTGTGAACATCAAAAATATATATTATACATTAATAAAAAATATTTCATATTTTCATCAAGCACTCTTATTTTAGATTAAAAGAAAGAATTTAATCACATAAATAATCAGGGCGCGCACGCAAATTCTAATATATATATATCCTACTACTATTATAAAGGCGAAAGTTTGTAAGTATGGATGTATGGATGTATGTATGTTTGTTCCTCTTTCACGTAAAAACTACTGAATGGATTTGAATGAAACTTTACCACAATATAGCTTATACATCGGAATAACAGATAGGCTATAGCTTATACATCAGAATAACACATAGGCTACAATTTTTGAGGTTTCTAATGTGAGGTCGCAAAAAAACACACTTTTTGAGCTTACATTGCAAACGCTGACTGAATCCTACAAGATAGATCAAAACAATGTACTACAATATTGTACAACTTAAAAAGGTCTACAAAAGAGTCCGTGATGGTATATGTTTATCTCTTAGGAATAACCCACAATAACCATTTTTTATCCTTTACTTTGTACGAGAAATAATGGCTTATTTACGAAGCGATTTTAAGCAATACAGTATTAATCCTTATCTAATTAAGTATCTTAAATACATTGTGCATTTAATAAAGATCAATATGGCTTTTTACAGCATGTAAATTAAATAAATATTTTCGAAGATATCACAGATTTAAAAGGCAGTCACAGCAATTTCGGCGATAAATACCGTTTCGGTGATAAATACCGGCAGCGGTGCCAGGCGAACGGGGCGTGGGAGGAGCGGGGTAGGTGCGGTGGGGAAGAAGTGGCTCATCGCTGAGTGCGCGACCCGAACGCGGGCAGACGCGTGAGGGCAGACCGAGTTGACGGTTGTGTCCGTTTTGCTAATTTTCAAGGCACTAGCGATGGCGATTAATGGCCTCTAAAACTTAATAGAGTTCCTCCGGTCAGCTATACATATATTACTAATGATTAAACTAACGCGGACGAAGTCGCGGGCAAAAACTAGTATATGTATATAGGATAGCCCCAGGTGAGTTCTGGACAGGCCCAAGTTTTTTAGTAAGTTGTAGAGATTTCGCTGTTATACCTCTCGCTCCCAACCTTCTACCGCGTACAAATCTACTACGAACCTATTTCGAGTCAGTTCGTTTGTGAGCTCGTAATATTTGTTGACCTTGATGGTATGGTCTTTGGGGATGTTGGTTTCCCAAGGAACCGTAAGCTCTATTATTACTGCGCGCTTTAAAATTCGCGAATATAAAAATATGTCTGGTCTGGAGGCCGAGGCAAAAATATCCTCGGGGATTTTCTATTACTTCTTATACATATACATCATTATAGTCCAATCCGAAGCTGCTTTAAGGAGATAAATCTTCTATATATATAAAAATGGATTGCTGTTCCTTAGTCTCACTTAAACTCGAGAACAGCTGAACGGATTTATCTTATCTTAGTCTTGAAATGTTCGTGGAGGTTCAGGGAAGGTATAAAAGCTGAAAAAAATTGATTCATTACTGGGAAAACCATAATAAAAACAGCCCTTTTCTATTTCCCATACAAACGTTTTTTTTTACATTAGATTTGACAGCTAACTAATATGTCAATCATTCTGTCGCACTTCAAAACACGGAGATTTATGGCTTACAGGTAAACTCCAAAAATATAAATAAAAAAACGTAATAGATATTTCTTGATTATAGGGCGATACGGAGTACGCCAGATCTTCTAGTCTATATTATATAGAAATAAAAACTACAGTTTATAAACATATCATATATTGCTTTAAAATAATTATATAGAGATGTTATTCACAGATCATGACAGAACTAAAACACATTATGTTAGATACATTTTATCTTCATCTGATAAAACATGATTACACTTTAATATTTCATCTCTAAACATTAATACATATAACTACATATCAATTAAAATTAATTCTCTATAGATGTGTATAATACTATGATATACCAGATTCTTAGATACCGTATATTGTAACTTATAAAGTAATTTCCTTTATATACTTTGTCTAAGACAGTTGTAATCCTTCATATCCTAGGCCCTCGGGGTCGGGACACTCCATTCTGTTCTTTAAATGCTGCAATGTATTGTGGAAGTGCTTCGTTATCTGTTCAACTTCCTCTGATTGGTCCAGATTGCCGAGTTCCTCGCGGATTTTTTGTATTATCTGTAGTTTTAAAACATAAATATATTATTTAAAGTCATAAGCGAATTCAATATAGACTGATATTACATTATCTATGCATATCAGTGTTAATCGTTACTATATATGTACGAAGTTTGAATTCTACTCTATGACGTCACATGACATCTTACTCTGACTAATCTTAAGCGAGCAGACGGCCTATCTCATGGAGGTAGTACCATTTCCTATAGACATCCGCAATATGAATTTGTGGATGTGTAGCTAGCCTTGATTAGGTGAGAAAGGAAAGGGTGACCGTCTCTCTCACTCATCGGACGAAACTCAGCCATTAAAGATTATTTCACGCCGATCTTCTGTGAGAGGGTGGTACTTCCCCGGCCGAGCCAGCCCATGTTCGACCTGTGTTAACTTGACGACAGCTAGATACTACCACCCCTATTCCATGACGTCACTAATCTCCTTACCGCTTGTATGAGAGGCGCGGTGAGGCTAGCGTGTCCTCTTTCCCTTAGCAGCGCATATCGCCCCAACAGCTCGGCTAATAGCTGGGCTTGAACACCTCCATCCATACACTGCTGGGCGACGCGGGCCGCTTTCTTTAGACAGTCAAGAGCTCGCGACGCGTCGTTTAATTCCCACTGTTATATGGAGAGACACTTTAATTATTATACTATACATGAATGACTTGAAAAACTGTAGAATAAATATTATATTTGATAGTTGCTTTATAAATTACATGCTTCAGTTATAAGTATGTACCTAATTAAGAAACTTGGACTTATTCATAAAAAATAAATGTTAATTTTATAATATTTTCTTTAAATTATTTTACAAAATATAAAATATCTATCATATTTATCTTCATACAAAGAACATATGTATTCTTACCTGTTGTCCATCTTTGCCAGCTTTCCAGAAGAGGTGAGCACACAAAGCGACAGCCCTGCTCTGATCAGGTTTCTTAAGCAACTTGCTGGCAGCCAGCGCACATTGTGTTCTCATAGGCTCGGCATTCTCAGCACCTTCAATTATATATTACATTATAATAAGAAATAGAGACAAAACCTCTCAGCATTCTATATTCACTGTGCGGGTGCCGGGTCCATCGTTGTAAGGAGAGGAGCTTCAACAGTGCCTGGGACTTGCGACCCAAGTGTAGGTTTAAGGGACCCCTATCTAACGCGCGTTAAACGTTCACCTCCACCGTCCAAGCTCCTCTCTCTTCCTAACCACATTTGAAACTAACAACTAGGTGTCTTTTTGAAGTATGTTCTAAGAATTAAGAAATATCAAGTTTTTTTATGTATATTAAATAATAATTCAATAGTTCTTTTCTTCATCTATTAGTATTATCATTAATTATAATCAGTCATAAAAAAATCTAAGCATTATAGTATATTATGATTAGCACGGCACAGAGGGCGCCACTTGTAACATGGGACCACTCCCCTCGCCTGCTCCCGCTATTAACACTTATTGGTTGATTCAAAAACGACAAACATTCTGAGACACCTCTAGTTAAGTATAAACATGTGTAAGAAACAAGTCTTACTTAAAATAACCGAGATTTAATACCTTATTAATAATAATATTTATTATAAACATACCGAAGCAATTAATTTGTTCGAATGTCGCTATTATGAGCGTGATTGCCGCCAACTGGGCTTTACTGTCGGATATTTCGTCTTCATACAACGAGAATGCCTGTGATAAATACTCGTAGGCTATAGTCTCGTGGTTGGCGAAACCTATCTCACTTATGGCGAGCGCTCCTTGGAGATACAATCTGGAATTATATATATATATATTAATTACATTACTTATAAAACAAGGGCTGTACTGATAGGAAGGTAGTTTAGAACCAGTTGATCGACAGTGTTCATCCACTCTTATTGAGAAAGAAGTAAAAATAACATAATAAAGTCAAAAATCTTCTCATTTACTGATTCTCAGGTCAGACTTATATTTCTATATATGAATCTAACATTGAACAAGTCGAAAGTAACATTAAAATACATATGTTACAGTCAAAGTAATAAATCTGGGTATTAATATAATGTCCAGATAAAGATTTTTCATACCTTAGTGGGAGTTCAGCGAGCTCAGCCTTCACCAGCAAACTGATCGTCTGATGACAGAACTGGAATATCTTCTGGCATTTTTTCTCCCACATCTCATCCTAAAATATATATTCACACTAAATAAGACTAATCAACTGTGTTTTTCTTTTTTTGCTCACGTAAAGGTCTGTGTGTCCAATTTCAATATTAAAACAGTTTTATAACATTTAAAATTACAGTTGTGAGACGAAAATTATGTTTTAACAGAAGGTATTTATATTATGAGAGTGAGTACATGAGTCATTGAGTGTATAAGTGAGTGAATAAGAGTGTATATCTGAATGAGTTAGGGAGTGTATGACTGAGTGAGTGAATTGGACAGTGTATGAGTGAGTCAGTGAGTCAATAGGTCAGTGAGTGTATGTTATGTAATCGAGTGTATGATGTCACCTGTTCCTTTAGCTGGTGGTAGGTGAATGCCAGCGAGTACGCGTGGAACACTATCGGCGGGAAGGTGTGCTGTATACGAGAAGCACCACCGCCCTGCAGCAGCTTGCGGGCGGTGCTCAGGATTAGGTACTGCTGGTCCGCTGAGTCCGACTTGAAGTGATGGATCAATCTGGAAACGGGAATTCATGGTTATTATAATATGACAGAGTAAAGTGATGTGATATAATCCCTACTTAATATTATAAATGCGAAAGTAACTCTGTCTGTTTGTTAGGCTTTCACGCCTAAACCACTGAACTGATTTTAATGAAATTTGGTACAGACATAGAGATGACCTTGAGAAAATATACAGAATAGTTTTTATCCCAGAATTTTGAAAAGTTCTCTTGGAAACGCGATATAACCGAACTCCACGCGGGCGAACCTGCGGGCGGAAAGCTAGTCACCAATAATTACAATATTGAATATCATTTGAATGTTTATTATAATCTAAAATGTATATACATCTATACTAATATTATAAAGCTGAAGAGTTTGTTTGTTTGTTTGTTTGAAAGCGCTAATCTCCGAAACTACTTGTTCGAATTGAATAATTCTTTTTGTATTGGATAGTCCAGTTATCGAGGAAGGCTTTAGGCTATATAACATCACGCTACGACCAATAGGAGCAAAGATATAGTGGTAAATGTGTAAAAAACGGGAGAAATTACTTCATCTTTGAAGCCTTCCGTTGCGTGCGCCGTGAAAACGATTCAAGATACACAAAAAATATGTATAAAAGAATAATAGCTCTTTTAGTGATTTAAAAAACAGTCCGCGACAGTATATGTCTATCTTTTAAGATTAACTCACAAAAACCGTTTTTATGGTACCTAATTTGATCGAAATAATTTGTTTAAGTTGTATCAACATAATCATATTAATCTTTATTCAAATAAACAAATAAATATGTTGTTGGTTAAGACTTAAGAGTACTTCATTGTGAATAAAAAAAAACATAGGTTTTATCCTGAAAATTTTGAGAGAACTCGACCATTCCGAAAACCCCGCAAGAACGGGAACTAGGTGGGAAGAACCAAAAATCTGCCGGAAGTCACTATTCCACGCGGACGTAGTCGCGGCAAAAGCTAGTATAGAATAAGAAAATTAAAATATGTCAGATAATTCTTACATTCACTACAGGAAATAATCTGTAAATGACTATATAGGTTGTGTATAGAGGGTTAAAAATATGACCAATTTCTAAATTATAAATAAATGCTTTATATGAAAAAAGAAATAACTAAGTATACATTACACAGATAATATAAGAATTTAACATGTCGAAGCACCGTGTCATATTTGATTTTTATAAGTATGACGTCGGCAATGCTGCCGTCACAATCACTATTTTCAACAATCGGCTTATCCACTTTCATTTTTCATAAACTTATAAAACACTTAAACACTTTCACTACTATTATTATTTCAGACTTTAACTTGCACTTGTAATTAGATAATCTTCCTCCTGAATGGCTCTCAGACTACTGTATCCCTTCCGTCAATTTTTACGAATATAAATGGTCTTTGTGAAATCTTTACATTTACTCTTTTAATTTAAAATTAGCTACGACTAATAATCTTATTTATTCAAATAAGAAAAAATAACATAAGTTTTAGTAATTAATTATTGAAACATCCAATCTTTATATTGCAACTTAATATTTTATAGAAAACCTAATTGATGACGAATTGGTTACTACTTAAGTTTTCCTTTTACTAAAAGTTACAGAATGACTAATCTTCACATATTATAAATCACGATACGAATTAACTTTTACTGTTTTTAATACAAATCATATCTGTACAACGTATTCTACAACGATCTATAGAACAAATAATTTTGTTAAAGAAATCGCTAACGCAATGGCATTGGTGATTTGTTTATGTCACATCTACCCTTTAAAGTAAAATAATTATGAAAAAACTACCCTTTATAATGGTTTTAAACGTCGTTGCGCCGACAAACATATTTCGTTACTTCATAAAATATATAGAAATAAATGAACAAACAAATGTTTGTATTTCCCATACATGGTCATTTCATTCAATTCTTTGAAAAATATATCAAAATATGCAAAACAAAAATTTAACAGGATTATTTAATTTTCATCATTCCGAAACAAAATAGTTTGATTGGTGTTAAAATCTTTTACAATCATAAAAACATACCTATTTTCATCTTACATTTGCGAATTGATACAGTCTGTCAATTGACAGTACCGTTAAGCATTTGGCTGGAATGAACTAGGATATGTTTCACCCTAACTTACCCTTAGTATACTAGAGGGCGCTGTTCACAAAATTAAGGGTTGAATCATATTTTTTTATTTAAAATCTAATAACTCTAATTCTAATTACTTCCTATCTAACCTTTTTTCTTTTAAATATTTAAAAAAGAATTTCGAATGCTTAGATGTTAGTTATTATGGGATACTGTTCGCCGAATTCGCCATATAGGGTACCAATATGATAGCTCAGTTGGTGGAACATTGGGGCGATAATCCATGCGTCGTGAGATCGAATCTTGCCAGGGTTGATTCATACTAAAGGTTTTTCTACATATAATCAACCCAAATAGGATTCGAACCTGCGACCCGGTTGTATCGTGCTATACCAGTTCTGACAACTGAACTATCGTGTTGGTAACTGCGTTGTTTTCAACAATTTTATATATGTCGCCAAAAATGATGTCGGAATTTATTTAGCATTTTATTGCATAGAAATTAGATTTGACGCTGGTGCTATAGAAATTTATAAATATTTCGAAATTAAAATATGGAAAATTCTAAATTTAAACTTTAAATTTATAATTTTCAGTACTGACTGATTAAATATATTACTTATAATAAAAATAAATTGTTAAGTTTATAATAAGTGATATTTAAAAAATATCCACACACTATCAAAAAAAGAGCATTGATTAAAAAGATATTTAGTACAATAATTTGTTTTTTTAGTCTAATTTTATCATTAAAATTTTAAGTCTGTTAGTTGAACATAAAATATTTTTTTCTTTATTCTAATTAGTTATATTTATTAGAAGAATAATTGAAATATTTCGTTTTATGGTTGCTTTTTTATTTATTTTTTATTAAATTTAAATAAAGCATCTTAAACATAATTTATTTAGTAGTATCATATTTTAGCTAAATCTAAATATGAAATGTGGTAGATAAAGAAAAATTAAACTACGCGATTTGTTAGACACATAACAAGACTAACTGACGGACACTTCAAACTTGGAAATACCCCTACCAATTTTTATGTAAGCTATAACCTCAATATTGAGTAGAATAGAATATAAAAAAATTACTGCGTTCTTCATTAAACCATGATATAATTTAAAGCGTACTCACAACATTCTTAGACATCAAAAGGAAAAATTTTAAATAATTAATTTTATTAATATTAGCTGACCCGGCGAACTTCGTGCCGCCCTATAATCAAGAAATATGTTTTTAACCTTTTTATCTCAATGAAATTAATTTCTTTATTAAGTAAAACTGACCCGATACTCCATGTTCTGTCTTCTTAATTGTGATTATTGAATTCTAATTGGTATATTAACAAATCAAAATTATTTCAAAACCAAGTTTTTATTATTCTAATGCTTTATTCTAACTACGTGAATATTGCTGCGAGTGACACATTATTTTAATAAAGAAGTGAAATGCTCTCGTTATATTTTTTTTTTAGTTATTTTCGTATTTTTTTCTTACATAAGAACCTTCTCCTAATAATTACAAATATAAAAAAAAAGAATTAGTGAAATCGGTCGGTGATTTCAAACTTATAATTGTGAAACTATAAGTCCAAGTTTCCTCACGATGTTTTCCTTCACCGCATATCAGTGGTGTCTAAATACTCTCAGAAAGTCGTATGACTCCGAAAAATCACATTGGTACTTGCCAGGTTTGAACCCGCGCCCTCGGTAACGAGAGGCGGGACACCACTAGGCCACCACTGACTTGTGTCATGTGCATGTGTGTGTGTATCTGTAACCTACATACCTGGCTAACAGCCCCTGTTCTTCCATAAAGTCGTCAGCATCTTGTTCAGCGGCGGGAGGATCCGCTTGATCCTTCACCAGAACATCCAGCATTGAGAGAACAGCTTCCACCTGTAGGAAGAGTTATAACATGAAAATCTATACAAATAAATGAAATTTGTGTCAGATTGTTATGCTACATAATCGCTTTATACTATAATTACATAACTTATATACATGGTAATATATATACTAATATAACATTCTTCATATTTTTTACAAGCCTATCTTTTGTTCCAGCTAATCTGTAAAACTGTTGGACTAATAATTAAATTAATTTCACTCGTTGATAGATAATGTAACAAGGACTAACTGCAGCAACATTTATTTGTTTTTTTATAATGTATTGATATCTATGATTATACCGAGCGGAGCAAGTCGCAAGCTAATCTTACATATACACAAGATCAATTAAAAAACAACTTTAGAAAAAAGTTAGTTTTACTACCAAATATACAAAAGAGAATTAAATTAATATTATTGTCACTTAAAGAAGATAATAGTTATATGATTTTTGTTTTTCATAAATTTTATTCAGAATATTTTTCTGTCTCAAATTTCTATTTGTTCAAAAAATATTATAAATAAATGGTGAAACAAAATTTTGAAGAACAAAAAATTATATATAATACACTGAATACATAAAATAATTATTATGTCATGTAAATAAATAGACATATTATTGTGTACTAGTTATCTTTGCTTGGTTTTGTTAAATAATAATATGATGTCAAGTACAATGTAGGTAGATCACTTTGTTATACATATTAGGTTCTTTAATTGAGTCTTGCTTCTTAACACAATACTTATATTACTAATTTACTTATAGTTTTATTGGATACTAGTTACACACATAAAATTGTCAATCATTAAAATGATTTTTATAAGACCATGTTTTAAAACAACTTTTCATTGAGGCAGTTTAATCTAATCTGTAAGTTAGTGAAATAGTTAGTGAAAAATAATCCACAAATCATGACAACATACGGAAATATATGTTTAGCAAATCCAAAACCAAATATAGTTTCATAACGAGCCTTAAACTTAGACGGTTACTGCAATATAGTTTAAATGTCACATAAATTGTCCAAAAAATCCATATAAAGTTCGAAAGTACATTTTTTCATAAAGTTAAAAAGCACATTAAGGTACAAGCAATGTTACTCACATCTTCGGGTGTGGACACAGTAGTATTACTCTCGAGGACATCATTAATAAGATGAACAGCTATCAGCATCCTGCCCGGCTGGCTCAGTCTATTGATGAGCGGTGCGTAGTTTTGGAGCTTGATTAATGTGAGTATGTTCTTGTAATGATCAGCCGGCAGCTTCAAAATCTTCATGAGTTCTTTGAACACAGGTGTATTGTGCTCCAAATACTGTTTACTGTTGGTATAGATTATTATTATTATTTTATATATAACAATATTAAATTATTTGTTTATATATATAGGATATAAATAGAATAAGTTGTATGTATGTGATGAAAATATCTTGGTTATGCATATTTCGTTTTGTTACTAACTCAAATTCAAAATTATATGTGAGTTTAACTAAATTTATTTTTATTTATATATACTTAAAACTACGCAAAAAAGACTGTATTTCTTATTTATCTTTATATTACAGATTCAATGATGATAAATGCCATTTAAATGAAACTAATATTTTCGGATTTTACTTCGCGTTTTATTTTAGAAACTACATACTCCCGACGTTTCGGCTACTTTTCAGCAACCGTGATCACGGGCAGACGAGATGTGAGTGTCTGTCAGTTGGTCTGGTCATTTTATCTCCTACCGCCATCGATTTTTTAATTGTCTTGCGTACCGCTCTGGATGCCGGCAAAATGCGCTCACGGTGTCTCGAGGTCCTGCGGTGTGGTCACGGACATGGGATTTTATATTTTTAAGAAGAGGATCCCAGGTGTTTGATAGGTTCCAGCCATCTTCTCTATTGAAATTGGGGTGTTTTTTAATTTCAATAGTATATATCTGTCTTCACGAGCGAGGATATGTGGTTGATCAAATCTAATGTAATGGCCTGGTTTGTCCAATGCATGTTCGCACACTGCTGACTTCGACGCGCGCCTATTCCTGACGTCTGAAATATGTTCCTTAACCCTTGTACCGATGCTTCTCTTTGTCTGTCCGATGTATGACAAGCCACAGTCACAATCAAGTTTATATACACCCGCTTGTTGTAAAGGAATGTTACTCTTGATTCTTCTTTCTTCTTTCTTTCTTCTTTAAAATATTAGTTTCATTTAAATGTGTACTCGCGAAAATCTTAGATCTCATTATGATAAATGCCATTTGGGCTATACTATATTACATATTTTTACATTACATTCAATGAAACACCTTTACTCATTGGTAATGTCAATCCCTACTAATATTATAAATGCGAAAGTAACTCTGTCTGTCTGTCTGGTACGCTTTCACGCCTAAATCACTGAACTGATTTTCATGAAATTTAATGAAATTTGGGTCACACGCACACACACACACGCGTGCGGCGGCGTGGTGTTGTATCAGCACGTCGCCACACGCGTCCACACTTGGAACACTTGGAACGTGTCCACACTTTATTTATTTGTACGGAAATTTGGTCAAAAATTAACTACCTATTTTTTTTACATAATTCGAATGAGAATCATGTACCGAGTATTCTCCTTAAATATTGATAGTAATTCACCAAAATATCTTTAAGATATATTTAGTAATTTTCTGCAACAAGGTCAATGAGAAAGTATTGAAATTGTATAATTCAAATATATTTCAAATATACAATTTCAATACTTTCTCATAGTACATAATAATTTACTAACCCTGATGGTAGTATGTCCACACATATCCTATCTGTATGAGCTAATACTCTGTCCACGTAGGATAGCTTATCTGGATGACATTTCTGTGCTAGCTTCAATAATGCTAGCTGTAGTGACAGCATGTCTTCCGGCGGCATGTCTGTGCGACTCTGTGAACAAAATATTATATAATCTGTGGTAGATAGCACCATTTAGTTCTTTTGGAAGTCTTGGATTTGATTCCCGACAGAGGAAATATCATGTTATACGAATGAGATCTTAGATTTTCGCGAGTCATTTAAATGAAACTAATATTTTGCGGATATACTATGCGACTTTATTTTTGATAAAAACTACATACTCCCAACGTTTCGGTTACTTTATAGAGACCGTGATCACGGGCAGACGAGATGTGGCGTAGTATATCCGCAAAATATTAATTTTATCATGTTATACTAATATAAGTAATGGACTTTTCATGACTGGTTACATTTAAAGTTGCTGTATCATACATCCAGTTACATATTCTTTATACATAATACATGTTAATGAAAGTAATATTTTCGGATTAGGGGCCATCCATAAAGTACGTCACACGTAAAGGGGGTGGGAGGGGGTCGACAAAGTGTGACATGGTGTGACAAGGGGTGGGAGGGCTCCTAAGTTTCGTGACATCACATTTCAAAATCTAGAGCTACTAATCGCGTAATTTGAAATATTAATTAAAATCTTTAAAACTGAGCGCGTCATCACCTGAATTACTATCAATATTTAAGGAGAATACTCGGTACATGATTCTCATTCGAATTATGTAAAAAAAAGGTACTTAATTTTTGACAAAATTTCCGTATAAATAAATAAAGTGAGGACACGTTCCAAGTGTTCCAAGTGTGGACACGTGCTAGCGGCGTGCTGATACAACACCACGCCGCCAAACGCGCGTGTGTGTGTGTGTATACCTAATCTGTAGACTGTTCACACGATGCGTAATGAATTACATAACTTTTGGTTAACTTTACTTAGAAGTTTATTAATATTTATGTTATATTAATTTTTATTTTGTCATATATAATCGTCAAATATCACGTCCTCAAGTATCGATAGTAATTCACCAGTCACCCTGTATATATTCATTAGTTTATTTATTATTTCAAATATTTGATACTACGTTGATTTCTTAAAAAAGTACTTATTTTAAATGGAAATAAAACTAATTTCGGAACTGCTGTTTTAATTTAATAATTTTTCGATGTTAAATTGCAAAACATGTGACGTCACACTAGGGAGGGGGGGTCTCAGAAATGTGACCACCTGTGACAAGGACGGGGGAGGGCTCAAAAACTCATGAAATTAGTGTGACGTATTTTATGGATGGCCCCTTACTACATACGCGTTTTTTAATTATTTTTAAAACCATATAATTCCGACAATTCAATTGTTTTGCAACAACCGTGATCACTAGCAGACGAGATGAGAAGTCTGCTTTAAAAATTATAAAATAACTTGTAGTAATCCAAAAATATTAGTTTCATATAGGTAAATAAATACTCGAAAAAATCTTAGATCTCATTAAATACTAATTAATTATGCCAATATTAATAAAATAAATACACATATAAATATTTCATATATAAATTGTATGTTGTATTTAAAACAAAAGACTAAATATATACAGGGTGTATGAAAAACTGTGTCAACCCTTGAAGGCATGTATACATATAAGCTTATTATAAAAAATAGTATAACTTAAAAAATATCAAGCAGAGGTCAGTTACAGTGCATAAGCTAAATAAGTTTCAAATCGACATTATTCGAAAAAGTGTTCCAAACATCTGACTCATACAAGGTCAAGACACCATATAGTCGCAACGGCGCATGACCGTTGACCGCAGGCGACGGGCCGCCGGCGTTATTATTACTATTCTGTTAGTTGTTCGAATAGAGATTTGAAAGTGTAAAAATTAGTTATATCGATAAATATTCTATCGACATTTTCAATATTGCTATAAATAGTTATGCTTTTCACATTAAAATAATTTCATTTAAAATAACTTTTATTAATAATAAATATTATAATTTGAAACTTGTTCAGGTAAATTAACTACATATGTTGTATTATTAGGATAAATCGTTAATCTATTTCTGTTAAAAATGGTGTTTTACAATCAAACATAATATTAATGTTTGATATATCAAAATAAGTATCGAAATAATATGAATATTAAATATTTATTTATTGTTATGATTTTTTAAATATCGATATTTTCAATAATGTGAAAGTAACTTCAAGGTCGTCACTAGTAGCGCAGCAGCTGTGATGACGTCATTGCGTGTCATCGTGTTATACCAGGGTTTACAAACATTTTGTTACTCTACATATAATAATCATTTAATATTTAATTTTATTATTTTTATTGAAGAGTTTGTAAATGTAAGTTGTTTTATTGTGTTACATTATCGATACTGATAACGTAGTTAAGAGGGTTGACACAGTTTTTCATACACCCTGTATAAACATATATATAATTTAAATTTTTATTATTATATTTTACCTGAGTAATAGCAGCAACCTGATCAGAGAACACTTCGAACAGTTGGACCTCTTGTTCCTGTCCATCATCAAGAACAACGCTAAGATTTACATTCCCCTCGTTCCTCTGAAATATAATAAAAATATTTTAATTAGAAACAACCAATTTTGAAATTACTACATTTGACTATAATATCTTTGTTAGGATTCAGCTAATATCAAACACTTAATAAAATATATCCGCTTAATCCAACATTATACATAAGCAGATATCCCTACTAATATTATAAATGCGAAAGTAACTCTGTCTGTCTGTTACGCTTTCACACCTAAACCACTGAACTGATTTTAATGAAATTTGGTACAGAGATAGAGTTGACCTTGAGAAAGAACATAGGATAGTTTATATTCCAGACTTTTAAAAGTTTCTCTTGGAATCGCGATATAACCGAACTCCACGCGGGCGAAGCTGCGGGCGGAAAGCTAGTAACTATATAAAAATATAACATTTTATGTTTGTAGTCAAATGGTTGGTTTACTGTCGGAAAAGACGTCATTATACGATGAGTTTTTAATAAACTGTAATGATTTTTTTGATTCACTACAGTTACAGTACACAAACACACACACACACACACACACACAAACATACACACACCATCACATCGACATCATCAACTTATGACTCGCTTTTATTTTATTTATTGGGGACTAAAAAGTAAACTATTATCATTCAAATCTAGATGACAAATTTCAGTAAAATAATAACTCAAAAAATATGTCAAGACAATTTCATACAACATACTTATTTTTTTTTTAAATAATACAACGTAATAGTACTTTTTTCCCAAGGATGGTTGATGTCAGGCAGGCGGCCGGTCGTAAAAACAATTAGCAAAAACTATTTACAACATGTAAGGCAGACCATGGCTAAAGCTGGGAAATTGCCAGGTAGAAGAAGAAGAGGAAGTATGTAATGGTAAGATGAAATTAAATACATTAAACATAAAGTTAGAGTGAGAGAGACCTCTATGAGATAGAGAGAGAGAGAGAGAATGACTTATATGAATAAATGTATATAAGTGTACATATCAACATACCTGACTGTAAGCAGCAAGTCTTTCTATGAGTGCTATAATGATGTTCTTTATATTAACACCGGGCTGCAGTTCAGCACAAGACTTTAAAAACGGCTGAAGGTTTGCCAAGTGAAACTCATCGGGGAAAACCTGAATGACAGAAAAAAATGGTTAAGACTCATTAGCTGTTATTGTTAAATGATTTTGAAATAACACACAGATTTAGAGGAGTCAAATATAAATATGTTTATGATGTATCAAATTTTAAACAATAAAATGATAAGGAATAGTTTAGACCATTATATTTATTTTCAATGACATTACAATTTTTAAAAAGAAAAAGCAATATAAGATTTTATAATGAGGTTTAATTAAAATCATCAAATATAAAAGGTAAATAAGGACTGTAAACACCAGTGCAACAAAATAAACTACAGTAACAAAATAAACTACTAACATAAACTACTGTATTTACAGAGTAATGTCTCTAATAGGCTTAAAAGTAATAGCTAGCACATATTATTATGTGTACCTGTATGATACACTCCATGAGATATTCCTGTGCTATAGGATCTCTGCAACTCACGACCTGTTCTAATATAGCTGGCAGAACCAGCCTGCGGTAATCTGCCTCACTGACAGACTCCAACTGGGACACTCGAACAAGATTAGTGCCAACCAGGATACGGAGTTCTGATCTTTCACGCTCACGACGCTCTTTGTCCCTTGAAAAAAAAATACATATATACATATCGTCGGAGATAGTGCAAAACCGAGTAACTACCTTTAGATAATTACGCGTATCTACATTGGAAAGCAGATTATGAGAAGAAAGTTTAAGCTTAAATAAAATAAAATTAGTAATTATTTTGTGTTTAATTTAAACTTTAAATTCCCGAAAGCACCTGAAGTGACGTTAAAGCGATGACATTTGTTTTATTCACTTTTACGCGGGAAAGTATTTCTCAACGCGATTTTGTCTTTGTAATATGAATTTAAGTTATTTAAGGTGTTTTGGTTTAAGATAATAATTAGTTTATTCTAGTTAAGGTTTGATTTATAATTAAAAGTACTGGCTTTATAGACAACTAGATATTTTAATGATTTTGTTACAATCCTATATATATCACTACTCTTATCTTATGTCTATATCGTCAAAATATATAATAAATATATACAAAGCGTTTCAAGACACTTGGTAAAAAACGCTTAATACGCAGAATAGAATTTTTCGTTGTCAACTTTCATAGGTAAGATGCAAGACGCGGGAAACGAGACGTCACAATTATTGTACGTTATTGGTTGTTCACCCAAGCACACTCGCGAGCAATTATATTGGACCCGTTGTAATATTACTGTTACGATTTGTTGTTATTGATAAATATTAAAAATGACCAGTTTTTGTAGCACTAAGTGTATATGCAGTAGATACATGGCGGCAACTATACAATCATATAAGTCTTCACATAACACTATAAACATAAATTCATAATCAAAAAACTAGAAAAGTCACTTATTTATTTAATAAAATAAATTTGAATAAATACCTCGAATGTCCTTGGTGTTGCATCCTGACCCATAACTTATTCATTTCGGCAAAATTCATCAGAACAAAGTCGATAGCGTCTCTAACCTGCAAACAAATAATGAACTCTATTACAAGTCAATAGAATACAAATTAGGAAACCTATTTCTAGCAATATAAAATATGCTACTTTACATAATTATGCTAATGCAGGTTTTATTAAATATTTTCGTTTTCTACTTTCCTTTTTATCTTTTTGTTTGATAACATTAATGTTGTAATGAAAGAGCGACTATTTTATCATAAATCTGTTTTTATAAAATTTGCAATACTTTATTGGTATACAATTTAATTATTTATAAATTTAATTACATACCAATATATTACCCAAATATGTATATACAGGGTGACTGGTGAATTACTATCGATATTTGAGGACGTGATATTCGACGATCACATATGACAAAATAATTGATATAACATAAATATTAATAAAAATACTATAAAAATTAATATAACATAAATATTAATAAACTTCTAAGTAAAGTTAACCAAAAGTTATGTAATTAATTACGCATCGTATGAACACCCTACAGATTAGGTATACACACACACACACATACGCGCGCGGGGCGTGGTGTTGTATCAGCACGCCGCCGCACGCGTTCACACTTGGAACACTTGGAACGTGTGCACACTTTATTTATTTATACGGAAATTTGGTCAAAAATTAAGTACCTATTTTTTTTACATAATTCGAATGAGAATCATGTACAGAGTATGCTTCTTAAATATTGATAGTAATTCACCAGTCACCCTGTATAGTTCACATGAAATTTACAGCCCCATAAAACTTTAATAACTAGGTGTTAATTAGATTTAGCTAAAGTTATGTATTTTTCCTTACATTCCCCTCATTTTCATTCTCCGCTTCAACGGTATCGGGTAGAACATTCCTTGTACATTGGAGGAGATAATTCCTCAAAAACAGCCCACGCAACGGATGTTGGACGCCACGACACATTTCAACCAGATCCTGAAAATAATATTGAAAAATTTCATTTATATTAAAAATTTTCATTAAGTATTCAATGCTTATTCTTTAAGAAGTAACTATTTCGGTTTAAGTCATAATTCAAATCCACTTGCAAGTGTAAAACATTTTAAAACTTGCTAGTAACAATAAAATAAACATAAGTTAATACAAAAAAACGTAATATGTATTTTGTGTTTGTTTGACATAATTTAAGAAATTATTAGACATAACATAATTTTTACACTACACTCAAGCAGACCATGGCTAAAGTTGGGAAATTGCCAGGAAGAAGAAGATAATTTATACTCTATAAGTACAAATATTATAGTAACTTAAATGATAAAAATATATATATAGCTAGCCAAGTAATTAATATCAAACCTTGAGCAAATCCCTCCTTAAATTCGTATTAGTTTTGATGTAAACTAAGCCAACTGTTATCAATAGGTACAATCGAGGTACAATATTCCCAGCATATTGTACTAGTTCATACAAATCTGCAACTTTACGACCCTTCTGGAATTCTTCTAGAAGATACAGTTCCAAGTGACGGAGCTCATCAGTGATTGCCATATCTGGTTTTGTTGTTAGGAAGCTTATTGAATACATAATAAAGATGAAAATATTAATAAAACAAAAGCAGGTTATATATGGCTATCATTAATGGAATGTTATTTTTTTTGTGTATGAATACAAAATTTAAATGACAGTTTTGAAATTAGGTACATATACATATTTCTAAAGTGCTAAGGATTTCATATGAATAATGTGAATCTTTAAGAATCTGTTGATATATCTGTAAGCAATATTAACAAATGATGTAAAGTGTATACAATTATCCCTCTATTAAAAAGCAAACTACATATTTGATAAGAATTATGTAATATGTAAACATTCCTATTAACTCAATATAATCCAAAAATTGATTGTTTTTTTACAATGTTTTAGTAATGTTTCTTATTTATAACAAAATATTAAAATAGGCATAGCTTTTAAATAATATTAATCTTTAGACATGTATCTGTATTTTTGTATGTACTTCATCCTTTAGAAATTGTAAAGAAATTGTATATAGCATAGAGTCACAGACTATAATATGAAGGTCATATATGTGAAACTCAAAAGCATTGGACCAAAGAGTAAATCTCATTACCATAAACAATTGAAAATTATATGAATACTGGCTCTTGTATGAAATGTAATTAAAAAAAGTACCAAATTATGGTCAAATATTTCCCTGCGATATTAAATTAATACTTTAAAGGATACATAATTCATAATAGCTCTTTGGAGATAATAGTGATGTCCTTAATTCTCCCAGCATGGTAGAAGCGTGTTTCAATGCATCCATAAGTTTTGATTTGTCTAGGCATCTTTTCATTTGAAATGCCTGTAATAAAAAGTGTTCCAATGATAATAGTTTTTTATTAATAGCATAAAGAAGGTATTAAAAATCAAGAAAAGAATATTCAACTTGACCACAACAAAACAAGGTACGGAAAATACTAGTTACAAAAATTAACAAAAGTAAGGAACACTAAAATCAAGTCTCTTTATTAAAATAAAGTTAAACCTATTTGTTTTCTAATTAGTTATCGAGTTTTCTTGATGTAATTATCCATATGAATAGTCGAAATTAAAACATATTTATATTGTCTTTTGTTACTTGAATAAGGTTTTTTTATTATATTACAAGTGAGTTAAAAATAAATATAAAATTCATAGTTTAGAATTTTTTATTTTACAGGATTCAAGTTTATATAACTTTAACTATTGTAGAGGTATAATGTATATGTCAAAAGATTTAAGCATATTAAAGTGGTAATTAGAAATAAGGACATATTTATTATTAATACTACCTGAAATTTCACATTGCTTAATGCTTCCTCCAAAAGCTTCTCCTGCTCCTCAACGGGTGACGCCTGGTTTGTCATTTGTGCCTGCTCAAAACATAATATTTAATAGACATCTAATTATCGGTAAAAACCACTTTTTACTCATCTTCGCCTACATAAATACGTAACTAACATTCGACCAAATATACAAAAATGGATGATCTAAATGCTCCATGATGTTTTTCAGCGAGGAGAATACGTACCGAACACGTAATAAGAATAGGTAAAACAGTAATTCGTTGATAAAAACGCTTTGCACCACCAAAAACACCTTCAAACTTCAATAAATGTTGTTGAACTTGAAGTTTCTGATAACATTTTAAAATGACATTTGACATGTATAATGAGCTATAGGTTAAAAATTTATGATCAGTCAATTAAATAAAACCTACATTACAAATAATACAGAGAAAATATTTACTTTTATTTTACACACATACCTAATATAATATGTTTCTCTAATTAAGTTTTTCATTTCTATCTTCAAACTAATATCTCGTAAACGAATATTGCCTACAAAAAATATAAGAGGTGATAAAGTACTTGTAATTTGTCAAAGCTTTGTGTCAAAGCAAATCTTATCATAGCAAACTACCGAATTTGATTTCTACATGTAAATAAAAGCGATAAAATGGACAATAAGCCAACCTTGAGCCAATACTTTGGCGGCTCTGAAATTCCACCAGCCTCACAGTTTTTTGATGAAATAGGAACATCACCTTCAGAAATGATACAAAGTGTATATCTTGGGGAATCAGAAGGTAACAAATAAAAGATTAAGTCTTTAATATATCCTCAATTACACCATATAAATAAATTATATGAACTATCTAATGACATTACATTCTTCTATCTTATGACCATGAAATTATATCCAGTAGTATCATAATTTACTGAATTTATACAGCTGGCATAAGTGCGCCCAGAGCTTTTACGAGTCCTCCTGATACTCAAGAAATATTCACGAATGTAGTCCCCACTGTGAGTTCGGCAACAGCAGTCCCTGCTACCAGTTTACCAGATCCATCAACATTCTTTGATACAATTGGACCCGAACCCCAAATCGGTCCAAGTAAGACCAATCTTATATCTGCTGCTGTTATTACCGAGGCGATGGACGGACTAAGTATTAAGGTGTGTAAAACAAAGGAGTTGTTTTGTGTTGTTTGAAATTCTGTATACAATTTACAAATTGCTTAATTTTCTTTGTTTTATTGTTGTAACAATAAATCTTTATAAACATATTTTTACTATTTTTCTTATTACTTGTATTAATATATATACATTTAAGAATCAACCAGTTGATAAAGAAGGTGATAGAAGAAGAGATGCTTGGATACCTAATGAAGAGGCAAAAAAGACTTTGCTAAAGGTGGGAAAAGTTTTAGAAATTTATGTGACTTTATTAATACATTTTTTACTTTAGAACTTTGATCAAATAAACATCATTAAATATAATTAATATTTTTGAATTACTATGCATTATTTACAAGTATTTAGTTATCTGTAAATATTAGTTTTATTTAAATGAATACTTGCAAAAGTCTTAGATGTCTTTAACATTACTATATCATCAAGTCAGGTATTGGATTTATTTTCCAGGCTCAGTCTTCACCAAAAGGATCATTCTTTCCTGAAAGAGAAGTACTGACTATGCCTGGGTTGGTTCTAGAGGAAGAATTGGTGAGTGTCATTTATATACAATATTTACTAGTAATAGACAAATTACCAAAAAAAAAAATTGCGAATAAATAATGGTGGGCATGTTTTTATTAAATAATATTTTTATTACTGGCTTCTTTTTAAGGAAAGAGATTCATTGTACTGATACATTAACTTAAATTTAAATAGTCTAAACATTTTTCATTTATTAAGTACTAGGTTTCCAGCCGCAGCTTCGCCCGCGTGGATTTCGGTTATATCGCGTTTCCAAGAGAACTGTTCAAAAGTCTGAGATAAAAACTATCCAATGCTCTTTCTCAAGGTCAACTCTATATCTGTACCAAATTTCATTAAAATCAGTCAAGTGGTTTAGGTGTGAAAGCTCAACAGACGGACAGAGTTACTTTCACATTTATAATATTTTGTGATTAAACTTGAGATTATTTTACATTAACATTATTTTTAATCTATCCACCAGGCCGATGCACTTCAAGAGATAGCTGTGAAGTATCTGGGTGTGTCATCAGCTGGTAGCCGTGGTGTGGTCAGAGCCGAGCATGTCAGTAGAGATGAGGCAGGGCTCCGGGAACTTCTACGGACAGGATACTTGAGGGCTGCTGTCAATCTAACTGCTACATTGCTGAGTGCAGCGGGCCAGGGTAGGTGGAGGAAAATAATTATATATATCTTTATTTATAATTCTTCTGTGAGTGTGTATGTCACTGAACTTCTCTCAAACGACTGGACCGATTTTGATAAAAATAATTGTGTGCATTCAAGGGGATCTGGGAATTTTAATTTATTAGTAGTTGTTGATACAAACGTTTTTTTTTTGACATTAGATTTGACAACTAACTAATATGTAAATCATTCTGTCGCACTTCAAAACACGGAGATTTATGACTTTAATATATCTCTTGATTATAGGGCGATACGAAGTTCGCCGGGTCTTCTAGTATATGGGGCTGGATGCAACCGGATTCCCAGCCCCCTGTCAGTCAGGCGAGGTCGGAGCGCCACTGGGTTGTTTTAGTGGGTATACCGGGAATCCTTTTCCCGGGGAGTCCCACATACCCCTCCCCGTCTCCCGACGGAGAGGGGATGCGTAAAGCATTTTTTCCCAGTGCGCACAAAAAAAAAAAAAAAAAAAAAAGGGTCTTCTAGTATATATAAATATAATTTATACACTATAACAGTATGTAACATGCCAAAACATTGTTGTTGAGGATTACCTGTGATTCCCAACAGGCGCTGGTCGTATGCACAGACCGACGAAGCACAGCCAACGTTCACTACAGCTGTGGCTGACAAGATTCGCCGTCATGTGTCGCATCAAGTTGTATGAACCTTTACTGAAAGAGGCCGAACCTTTCGGAGATTTCACTAAACCGGATATGTTTTATGAGGTTGGTGGTTTATTATTTTTTTTATTTACAATTTCCCTCCAATATATATTTTTATATTATAAAAATGAATTATATGTGTTATTGAAATGTACCCTAGATTGAAATTTGAATGTATGTTTATGATCTTAATATAATTATCATACTCTATGCACTCTGATACTAATATATATTGTGACTGATTTGGAATCGTTATTAAATATGAGAATATTTTAGACCAAGAAAAGTTGAAATTTTTCAGTAATTTTAAGAAATTCATGTAAAAAAATTATATATTATTTCAAATACAAATAAAATTTCTTATTATAACCAACTAATGGCGGCTGATGACTAAACAAAATATATCATAAGTAAATTATGTTACCTAAAGCATACATTTGTTATTTATCAAAATAACACCAATAACGTGATTTCATGAATTCATTAACCAATATTCTTATATGACCAGTTTTATCCGGAGGCGTACGAGAATCGAACCGGTTCATTAGTACCATTCTCATTACGTCTCCTCATTGCTGAGCTGCCGGGACACGTCGGCAAACCAGAAGAAGCTATGGACAGATTATACGCCATGCTAGATATTATTGAACAGGTTGATTTAGTATAAGAAATATTTTGTTTGAAAGCTATTTAAAGCTATTTAAATTTAAAATCTTAGTGACATTTGTTATAGATTATATAAGATATAAATGTAGAGATATTTTTTTTGTGAGATAACTTTTTTAATCTGTGTTCTTGCTTTATATCATTACGACAAGGTTATCCCATAGAAGAACTATTAAAGGTATATAAGAGTATGTAATATTATTTTTAAAATTGATTTTTTTTTGCATACAGATGATATCAAACCTTAAATCCGGCAAAACGGAGGTTGGCACAGATAATATAACAGCTGAAGATCAAAAAGAATCACTGCGACTGTGGAACGGCAGGCGGATAAGAGTGATGCACTCAATAACAAACTGCGCGATAGCTCTCAAGGTATTTAAAATTATACTAATTATTAATAAGGTCGTGGTGGCCTAGTGGTTAAAAGGCCCGCCTCTCATGCATGGGGGCGCGGGTTCGAAAGTACCAATGTGATTATTCCGAGTCATATATACTTTCTATGAGTATTTAGACACCAGTGACAAACGGTGAAGGAAAACATCGTGAGGAAACCTGGACCTAATTACAAACTATAAATTTGAAATCGCCAACCCATCTTAAGCCATCGTGGTGATTAATGCTCAAACCTTCTCCCTGTGAGATGCCTTTGCTCAGCAGTGGGCTCTGATAGGCTGATGATGATATTACTAAAACATATAATAATATAATAAAATTATAATAATTACAGGATTACCGTTTAGCAACAAAGATTCTAACAACGCTTAAAAATGAAGCGACTAACGTACAGCAGCAGCGAGCGCTGCACAGCGCTTTATGTCGCGTAGCGCTATTAGCTGGGCACGGACGCGCCGCTGTAGCGCATTGTAGTAACGCGAAAGACGCTAGGAATCATATGTAAGTGCTACGAGAAATTGTCGTAGCGCAAGTGCTACGTATTAATTAATAATTATGCTAAGCTAGTAATTATAATTTTGTGTTACATTTTTCAGCTGCCCAACTCCAGATGTAAGGGAGTATGTGGACTTGGGTTTAATAGATATAGCGCACGGCAAGTATCAAGACGCCTATAATAACTTTGCGAGAGCAGCTGATCAAGAACCTACTAATATTATGGTATGTTTACATATTTTAATTATATAAAGCGTTTTTGAGTTAAATAATTTTATCGGTATAACTATGTATATTTTATCGATATTTTCAAGTTTTTGTATATTTCATTAAGGTCTCAATCAATTTAGCAATGTATTCCATTAAATAGATTCTGGATAACATATCTCCTAGTACAAATTTGTAATATGTATTTGTAAAAACTACCTATGCATGTATCTATCTACCTGTAATGTCATTTACATATTATATATGATGTGTGTTAAATAAACTTATAGAATATTTCAATATATTGTCTACTTTAGATTATTTATTTCAGCTATTTCCAACTCTTTAAGTACTTGAACAGTGTCATACCACTCTTTGTTATCGTAATTCAAGAACACGATCTTAAGCATTTAAGAATATTTTTTGTAGTTTCGTATAATATATCAGTGATATTTATTTAACCTATTTTGATATAATTTCGATGATTTTTCTTTGAATCTATATGAATAATTGTTGTTACAGGTAGCAAACAATTTGGCTGTATGTCTCTTATATATGGGTCGTTTGAAGGAAGCTATATCTGTTCTACAGAAGGCCATACATTCAGACCCTGAGAGAGGGCTGAATGAAAGTCTACTCATAAATCTATGCACTCTATACGAACTTGAATCTTCAAAGACTATTGAAAAGAAATTAAACTTATTAAGAATGCTGTGTAAACACAAAAGCGATACTATACCTAATGTATTGGAATGTCTAAAACTTGCTTAGTTAATCAAACTTAGCCTCTTCTATTATATAAGTATATAAAAAAAGTGATTTATTATTTATCTGTATATTGATTGTGAATAAATTATTAAAAACCGGCTGTGCTATTTTAATTTGGAACTGACCTTTACCTATATAAAAAACTCAAATACTAGAATTTAAATAGTTTTGTTTGAAGAAAAATAATAGAATTAGTATATTCTGCTCGAATTTGTATGTATTTCAGTGATGTTAATAGTTTGGGTAAATAATTGAAGAGTATGTGACAAAATTTGTTTATTTTATTACAATTCAAACATTATTGCTTATCAAATTTTTTTTAACCATCGATGATTTTTAAGCCTTCTAAGTGCCGATTCAAAGACCAGATGGCTACCAACATTCTGCCAAATTGAGGTAGTTAGCGAGTTTCGACTAATGATGAATTACTAAATATATCTTCATAGTCGTTTAACCACAAACACCAATCAACTATACTGGTTGAATGTTTGCAAGCGGAGACATTAAGATACATCAAAGGATTTCTCAATTTAATATAATATCATACTAAACCTCATATTCTACCTCAAGCATTGACAATGTACCTTCCATAACTACTCCTAATATAATGGCATAATTTTTTATGAAAAATTTCTCATACACCAACACAAAGCAATTAAAACATTACAAAATAGTTCTCATGTTAACAAAAAAAAAACATCTTGATTGTATCTCAAGTCACTGGTAATATCTACAAAAACATTCCAATAATATTGTGAGATAGAAATTGGTTGATTTCAGTCAAAAACTTTCAACGGTCCTAATATTAATATTTACATAAAAAAAACTGCATACATATCCATTGATACAATTGAAGTTCGGTTTCGAGTTCTTATATCTAATACTACTTACTTAAAACTATGCCATAATTTCAATTTAATTATGATAGCTGGTGAAATAAATTCAATTTCAAAAGGAAACAATCCTAAAATATTGTTAAAAATTGTTCTAATGTCACTCATGATGATCTGAGGTCATGGCAATTAAATAATCTTGTAATTAACATTCACATGATAAATGAGACGTTAACATTTATTTTGTCTGTAGAAGGCCTACGCTAATGTACTTCTAATACTTAAACTACATACAGAGCTGCCGTAGGTTCAGCAGTTGTTACAGCCACTGTGATTGTGTAGGGACATATTTACACAAAGAAAATGCTGTATTCATATTACACTAGTAAGCGTCATACAAACTGAGAACAGAACGCACCAAGTGGTATTACAACACTTCATTTCAAATCTTAATTCTGAATCTACTTATACCGTTGTCAACTTACACCTAATGGGATTATGATCAAGGCGGTCACCTCAATTAATATTAATTACACGACCATACAGCTCGTCCACTGTGATGTTTAGTAAATAAATAAGTCCTCTTACACACTATAAAGTTTGAACGGAAGATTGTTCACAACCGATTGCGACGGTTCCTTATAGCTCTAAGACGCGCTCGGCGCGACTTTGCGGATTATATATCGCCATTCTGGCTTATCCCGATCCTCTTGATGAATTCCTCTTGCAACATGACTGTTTTAATCATGTTCGGATGAGCTCCATACGCGATTGTTTGATCTGGAGTTGAGCAATACTGTTGTGTACCATCTGTAAGGATGACGCCTTGCCCATTGCTCAATGAGCCGGCAGATTCGATGGAGTTCCAGTAGGACTCGCTTGGTGATGTCGTGTTCACGCCTGGTGGCGGCGCCGCTGGTGCACCGGTGTATCTGAAGTATGGGTTCTTTAAGTCTAATGTATTAGAAGATGATATATTTGTTCCTTCTAGATTAATCTCCATTGTAACATCGTAGCTTTGACGTTTATTTGCTAAGAGAAGCACTCGCCCTGTCAATGCCTGTCCTTGTTTTGCAAAAATCGGTGTCTCGAGCAAGCATCTGACTTGGTACCAATGTGTTAATGGTTCTGTCGGTGAAGTAGACAACCAGATGTGCTGTGTACTACCAGCAAATAGAACATCAAACCAGAATGCCAGGCCATGGCATGTTCCAGACTGTGTCAACTCAAATCTAAATGGCACTTCTATGCGATGTAAATCGGTTTCGTTGGCATTCAAAAAGTCGACCACATGCCTTACAGATCTCGACATACAGATGCGTACATCAAAAGTATCTACAATGGGCTGTCTGAAGTACTCCTTCATGGCAGCGGTGCGTAATGCACTCAGATCTACACCATGGAAACATGCCTGATACCAGAAGTTGGCTTTGTTATATTGTTCCATGAATAGAGCGTCATCTGTGAACGGCGCTATGTGTAAGTCTCCTCTGGTAGGATACATGTTACCGTTGGGTTTGAGCCACTTCTTCGCGTGTAAATAAGTCTCCAACATGCGCTCATTATAAAGCATGTAGCCCATCGGCTCGGATATGATTACATCGACGCTCTCTGGTAACTCGATTTCTTCTATTTTACCAGCAACAACGGAGATGCGGTCGTGAAGCCCATTCGCTCTCACAAGCGCCTGTGCATGATGCGCCATGTTGCTAGCTTCTACGGCATACACCTTGCGAGCACCAGCCTGTGCCGCGAAAAACGACAAAATACCGGAACCTGCGCCGACGTCCAGCACTACTTTGTTTTTGAAATCGTTGATGTTCGATAAAATGGCACGCTGGTATGTACTTGTTCTCACGTAGTCCTGCATCATGTTCTGTTGCTGACTTAGGTATCCATAAAACTGGAAATATTGCATCGCCGACGAATCCTCCGTGCGCACCGTAAACACAGATGATGACCGACCAGCCTTAATCTTACTAACCAGCAAATGGAAGTTCTGACAGTCAACATCGGAGGAGAATTTGAAAAACAGTGTTTCATTATCTATTGTAAAAATGTAAGATTGGCCGGCGACTCGCGAACACTCGCTCTGACTGTGGACGGGGAATTCAAGCACCTCTTGAGCCAAGACGGGATCAGCACGTATCACTTTAACACTAAGACCTTGCGGGTCGTAATCCACGTTTACGTTCGTTGGGAAATTAAATCGCGGAGTTAAAGCACCGTCATTGTTGACGGCGGAAACCGTCACCGCGCGAAACGTGTTCGCCATTTTTACTACGCTTCACCAACTCGATACTTTTGTTTGAATATTTGGGCACGCGTACGGCAAACAAAGAATAATGCCGTTGAGAAGTTTTGTAGAGACCGGTGTAAAATCGATCACTCACAAACTTCCTCCCTCTGCTTGTCTATGGACGCAGCGGCAGCGTGCTCTTTATATTTTTTAATGATGTATCTGATTGAAGAACATACGTTGTGGTGCCAAAATGATGAATAAAAATAATATCAAAATAATTTTTATTATTACATGTTATTAATTAAAAATACAATAAGAACTATATTAATCATAATAAGTTTGTTTTTACCTAATGTAATTAAAATTTATTATTACTTTTAAACAATTATTAAAATAACTTAAAATTATGGTACATTATTTATATACGGCTGATACATTAAATAATTTTTTTTTAATAAATTAAAATTTTGAATTGAAATTATCTAAAGAAAATTATCTCAATTTCATAACTAAAACTGTTGAACATTTTTCTTATTATAAATAATTGTTAAACATTTTACGCCAATATACGCGGAATATTGGCGTAAAATGTTTAACAATTATTATTTTACAACGAAAATTATTTACACATGTCAAATAACTTTGATTTTACAAGTTACTATCAATGTCAAACTCACGTTTATTTTCGTTACTATCAGCGGCTATTATTTTAGGTTAGAACTTAGAAGTTCAAGTTTAAGTGTACATAAATATTTCGTAAGACTTAGTAGACATATTATTTTTTTTTTACACCATGTCTAAAAAGATTCAAACCAAAAAATGGGACCTAGTACCATTAGATGGGTTTCCTATCACAATGATGGACAAGGGGTTTGTCGGACTTGAAGAATGTACAGACTATGGCCTGGATAAACAGAGCAGAAGGTCTAAGAAGGTAAAGCCAACTATTTAATACTCCACTCCATATATTAGGAAGATATATAGTCCCATTTATTTTATTACCACAATAGTTGTTAAATTTTTGATGTCATAGCAACAGTTATAGTCATTTTCTGCATATTCCACACCTATAATTAAGTTATAGATTAATAGACAAATATTTTAAAATTTACATACTAAAATCCCTTCTCACTGATTTAGAATAAACAGCCAAAAAAGAGAAAGCAGTCAGAGACCAAAGTAAAAGATAAAGTTGTAGAAGTTCCCCAAAAGAAAATTAAACTCAGCAATGGTTTTATAGTTGAAACATGTAAAAAAATCACACCATCAAAAGCAAATGATGTCCAAGAAATTAATCAAGATATAAAAAAGAGTACCAAAAAGGTTAAGGTTGCACAAGTAAAGGCTGATAAAGTTAAGAAACCGAAACTCGGTGAAAATATAGCTAAAGTTACAAACCTGACTAAGGAAGATATGTTGTCGTGGGCAGAGTTCAAACTGCCGGAGGAAATTGTAAAAGCACTTATGGAACAGGGATTTAAGAATCCGACAAAAATACAACAGTTGGTACTCCCTGCTGCGATTCATGGTAATAATTTGTTTGTGATATAAATAATATTTACAAATACTCTTAAGCATTAAAGTTTTAATTTATTAATTATACTTGCTTGATATTTTTAAATAATATGATGTCAAGTATGTATATGTCATTGAGTCTTGCTACTTAGCACTACATAATTTTAATATAGTTTTGCATATGAATTTAACATAGTTATTGGATACTACAAAAGACATAATGAAATAACCAATACATATTTCATAACTTGACAACCTTTTTTTTACAATACATAATATGTATATGTAACTATAATAATTTTAGTGCAATTTTGATTTCTGGAGTTGAGTGAAAATTCTGTATCAACATTTACTTTGAATGACAGTTAGGTGAGATCATTCAAGATCCAATAAGCATAATGCCCAAAAATACTAGGACTTATAATTTATTTTCTTTACTACACTTTAATTAATAAAAAAAAGTATTAAAGTTATTTAATGTTAATATAATGCCTTTTATATTTTTTCTTAATGCTTATTGAACTATAAACTATTAATAATTTTTATTTCTTAAACTATTAATTCATATTAAACTTAATATATGTTTTGTTTATACAGGCAGAAGAGATATTCTCGGAGCTGCTGAGACAGGCAGTGGTAAAACATTAGCCTTCGGACTTCCAATATTAACCGGCATAATGAAACTCAAAGAGAAAGCCGAACAAAAAGGACTAGATGTATATGATATACCTTTTAAGAAAAGTTCAGTTAAAAAGAGAAAAGAAGTCGAAAATAAAAAAGAAAAAATAAAAATAGGAGGAAAAAAAAGTAAAGATACGAGGAATAATCGGAAAAATAATGAAAAGAAAGTAGTGAACGAGAATATTAAGGAATCATCGGAGGATGGTTATAGTAGTGGTGATGAAAACGATGAATCATTGACCGGAGATGGTGTTGATGAAGAAAATAATGATAGTGACTTTATTGAAGAAATAGAAGTTCCGTTTAGGAAACAAAAGCAACCAGAGGAAAATGATTCAAGTGATGAAGATTATGTACATTTGTCTGATATGCTGGAGTCTGATGATTTAGAGAGTGATGAAAATGATGAAGATGAGGTTAGTGACGCCGAAGATGATGAAAATGATGATAATGATGATGTTGATGAAAATGATGATGAAATAAATAATGGTGTTAGTGATGATGAAGAAGATAATGGCATTGACGAAGTGGACATTGCAAATGGAGGTAATATTTCAGGGTTATTTTTAAGGTTTACAAATTAATCACAGAATTAAATTATATTGTAAATGTATAAATTAAGATGGTACAAGTTTATTCTATATCAAATCTATATTAAAAAAAAAATCATCAATTATTTTTCATAATATTATGTCCCACTGTTTCAATCTCAATTTTACTGTGGAATGTAATTTTGTTGCTACAAACTCATCAAAAACTGGTTAATAATTAGTGAAATAACTAAGAATTTCCATTAACATAACCAACTTTAGTTGGCACATTTCCTTTTAACAGTTCAAATCTGTACAAATATAATTATTTACACATACTTTTATAACACCCTTTATATTGGCTAGTATTTCCACTATCGACTTTTTCTGTATACTAAATAAAATTTTCATCATCAGGCAGAGGTTGTGTGAAGGTGATAGAAGATGTATCATTGCCGGAACAAGTGATGATGAAGACCGGCAAACCTTTGTATGCTCTGATATTAACTCCAACAAGAGAATTGGCCATACAGATCAGTAGACATCTGATAGCCGCTGCTAAATATACAGGTTCAGTATTTCATATTACATAGTTGTACTTGTTTATGTCATTCATTCATTCATTAGTTACTAACTGCGCCCCGCGGTGTTACCCGCGGATTTCCGGGATGTAAAGTAGCCTATGTGCTATTCCTGGACGTCAGCTTCCTTTATACAAAATTTTATCTAAATCGGTTCAGTCGTTTGAGCGTGAAGAAGTAACAAACATACACACACACTCACAAACTTTCGCAATTATAATATTAATAGGATATTTGTTTATTTTATTCATTAATTCATTAATTCACTAGTTATACTTGTTTATTTCATACTAAATCAAATCCGTGACTAATGACACGGTGTCTTTTGTATTTTGTTCAAAGAGGAATGAATAAAGTGAATTTAATAAGTTAACAAACAATTAGCAACATCTATCGTCTGTTTCATTTAACTTCAACTATCATGACCTCTTTCCATGCAAATTACCGTAAATAAAAGGATAAAAGATATTCTATATACACATTTTCGTTGAAAGAGTAACATGCACATACATAGCCAGAAACATAAGTATTTATAGTATAAATAGAATTTGAGGTCTCATGAATATAATTGGATATACTACTAAATAGTTCTTACTTACATTTTTTTTATACAAACAGCTTACATGTTAAAAATATAATTCAACTACATATAATCAGATGAAAGATAAAATTACTTTACTAAATACATATTAAATTATATTTTATATATGTATTTATCACGAATAATTTTATTTTATTACTTCTAATATATACAAACTTTCGTCAGGCATAAAGATAGCTACGGTGGTAGGTGGTATGGCTGCCGTGAAGCAAGAACGAGTGTTGGCATCAGGTCCAGAAATAGTTGTGGCGACTCCTGGCCGTTTGTGGCAGCTATTGAGCGAGGGTCAAAGCCATTTGATGCAAATACCTACCGTCAAGTGAGTGTTACAGTCTACCACTAGATGGAGCTACTATAAGTATTAAAACCTCTTTGCTGTGGACATTGGATGAATATAATATGGATATTCATATATATTTAAGGAAATTAATATGTGATTGATTTTTTTTTGTTGTAAATAGGTGTATTTATGATATAAGTTATATTTTTTATGTAACTTTCATGTATAAAGGTTATAAATGAAAGGGGTGTATTGATATTCATGAAATAATATGTGGAATTTGTTACTCAAACAATTTTGACGAATTTAGGTACAGGGACTAGTTCTTAAGAGAAAGATAGTTTTTTAAGGCGAAGTTATAATTACTTGGATTGTAATGAGTCAGTTCCTGAAGTTATTATTGGGTATAATAAGTGTAATTTTTCTAACAGGTTTCTGGCGATAGATGAAACTGATCGTATGATAGAACGAGGACATTTTGAGGAGCTGCAGCCATTGTTGGAGAGGCTTAACTCGGAGGAAACTCACAAAAACTCAAGACAGAACTTCGTTTTCTCAGCCACACTCACAATGGTCCATGACTTACCCTCGCATATGAAGGGAAAAAAGGTTAGTATGTACTAAAAATTTATTTTCGCTAAGTCTGGAAATGACTTATATTTTCACATACAATTTAATTAAAATCTGTTCAGCTACCAAGCAACACCAGCGTGACAGATGAATTTAATTTTCTAGGAATTTTATATAAAAAAACTCATAAGGAAAGAGAACACAAAAATTTCTATGCTATAAAAATTAAACCTCAACCTTAAGCTCAAATAAAATACAAAGATATATGTTAAAGTCATTTCAGCTAATTAAAATCATAAGTTTTAAATAGAATATTATGGAAAAATATTATAAATTTACATACATGTCCCCTCTAACAATTAATTCAATCTATATTTTTCATACAGGTAACGAAGAGAGGCAAAGTGCTGAACAGAAAAATTGACAAAATGACACCGCAGCAGAAGATAAAGAGATTGGTTGATATGATAGGGATGTCGGATCCCAAGGTCGTGGATATCACCACAAAGAACTTAGGTAACACACACGCACATACACACATATACACACACACACACGGACGCACGAACTCACGCACACATACATATATACATAGTATAAAGATGTTGTCTGTCATTTCTAGCTCCTAAACTCGTTCCAACAAATTACTGTGAACAATACAATTAAAAAACTCATATTTTTTTAAGTATACAAAAAATGTCTTTATATATTAAATTAATATTTTATATATTTGTGCTGAATTATAATTTCAGCCATATTACTCTGAAAATTTCGTTGTAAATTTAATTAAATATATATTTTTATTCTTATTATACAGGGATAAAATCACACACATTATAATCAAAGCATGTGTGATATTACATATACATTTAACTTAAGTTTTTGTCTGAAACTTTGATCGTGTGAACTTTGGTGTTAGATTCTGAGAGAAACGTATAAGTTTAATGATATATTTCACAACCATACCAGTAGCGACATCTATGTATGTGTTTCACTTCACTCTACACAATACGACTTTTATAACTGGGTACCACGGAAAATATTAAGAATTCGAGCATAAATTACATTCCATATCTCGTTCCTATATCTAATCTACATTAATGAAAAGTTTGATCAAAATCAGTTCAGTAGTTTTTGTGTGTAAGTGTAACAAACAAATACATAAGTAATTCCATATGATTCCAGGCGCCGCGGACACATTGACTGAATGTCGTATAACATGCTCATTGGATCAAAAGGATGTGTATTTGTTCTATATACTAAAGAGACATCCGGGCAGGACTATTGTGTTCTGTAATTCCATCAATAGTGTGAAAAGGTTTGATAATTTATACCAAATTGTTCCTATATCGTCTATAGAAACAATTTTGTAATTATATTATATATTTTTTTACTGAAGTAGACTCTTTTAAGTTATATGAGAATAATTAAATGTTGATTAAGTTGTTATAAATTGTGAGATTCAAGATTTTCGCGAGTTTTATTCATTTAAATGAAACTTAATATTTTTCGGAGACACTACCGTGATCATGATTTCAGAAAATTAGCCGAAACGTCGAGAATATGTAGTTTTTTCATAAAACTAAACCGATTAGTATATCCCAAAAATGTTAGTTTCATTTAAGTACTCATAAATTGATCTGAAGAAATATTAATTTGAAGGTATTTAGTAATAATAATTTAAAATTTACCTTATAATTAATCAGGTTGGCCCAAATACTCACGTTAGTGAAGTGTAATCCTCTCCCACTACACGCCAGTATGCCACAACGACAACGCTTGAAGAATTTGGAAAGGTAATTTCAAATTACTCACAAACAAACAAAACATTCTTTGATTGCTATTTTTAGTTAAAGGTATTTTTAATATGTATTATAATGTTATAAAATGACAAAAACTCCTATATGGTCACATAATATTACTTATATGGCATATCTAAACAAAAAATCGCTTCGAATATGTATATTAAAGAGAATCTATTTTAGGAATAAAGTTAATTATTCAACTTCATTCACAATAACTCATCATTCACGAATGAATTTAAAATTTAGATTATACAACTCCACAACAGTAATATATATATATTTTTTTATTATTGTAGATTCCGTGACGATGTCCACGGCGTGTTGGTGTCCACTGACGTAGCTGCCCGCGGGTTGGACATACCTGACGTGGACCACGTGATACATTACCAGGTCCCGCGGACAGCTGAGGTTAATTTACACATACTAATAATATGATTATATTATATATCTAATTTGGTTAAGTGAGAGAGGAGCTTGGACAGTGGAGGTGAGCGTTTAACGCGTTAGATAGGGCCCCCTTAAACCTACACCTGGGTCGCAAGTCCCAGGCACTGTTGAAGCTCCTCTCACTAAAACGATGGACCCGACACACGCACGGTGAATACATTGAATGCTAAAAGGTTTAGTCTTAAATGCTTATGAAAATTCTGTATATACATATAATGTCTAATGAGATCTAAAATTATCGCGAGTATTCATTTGAATGTAACGAATAGTTTCGTATATCTACTCGTTATTTTATTATTTTCATTTCGTCTGCCGTGATCACGGTTAATGCAAAGTAACCGAAACGTACTATCGTTTATAGCTTAGAATGATAAAATAACACGTAGTAATCCGAAAATATTAGTTTCATTAAAATATATACTTCAAGTTCGAGATTTTTATCAATATTTTTATTATTACAGTATCAAAATATCATGCCCCTAATAAAGTTATAATATTCTAGAACTACATACACCGCAGTGGTAGAACAGCCCGCGCTACTAAGGAAGGTCTCACCATATTGATGATGGAGCCCGCTGAGGCCTACACATACTCTAAGTTATGCCGGACACTCAATAAGAGTAAGTATAATACAGTAGAAAACCTATTAACCGGAGTAATAGTTGTCGATAGGCATTCGGATAATCGAAAATCCGGATAATCGAATTTATGAAGAAAAGCCGGTTTTGTGCATATGTAGTACATCATATTATATGTTTATTTTAAAAAAATAACAATTCATATCAACGAAAATCAATATTTATTAATAAATAATAATTAAAGGATACATTTTCTTCTTTTCAATGGCGAATTCGATTTGTAAGTTGTAGTTATTTCATGTAATTTGTCAGTACTCCGGATAATCGCGAATCCGTATAACTGAGGGCCGGAAAATCGAGTTTCTACTGTATAAATATTCTTATATTTCCTTATTATTGTTTAACTGGTTGAATCAGTCAAGATTGTCTATATGTCTTTATGAATTTGTAAATAAAAATATGTAATGTATATTTAACTTATAAAAGAACTTTAATATAACAACTGTTAAAATCTATATGTATATATATAAACACATTTATAAATTTAAAGAATAAATCATATGTAAAATATGTTATCATGAATTTCTATATCTTTTTATACCTTTTTTATATTAATATGATGACAAACCTATTATAGACCAAATTATCTTATTTTTCATATAAAATGTTATTTTTTCAGCATCCGAGCTGCCAACGTTCCCTGTACCAAGTTATCAGATTTCACCAATAAGAGATATCATCAATTTAGCGAGGGAATTGGACTCACTTATTATAAAGAAGAAGAGATTGACTCAAGAGCAGAGTTGGCGGGAACGGGCTGAGAAGGAAATGGACTTGATAATAGATGATGATGATGTGTATCCTTTATAAAACTACATATATATAAAACTTTAATTAATGTCAATAATATTATTACATACAATATAGGCCAGGACGCTATCTATGTGACTAAGTAGAGGTTATGATGTATAAAATGTATTTTAATACTAACATCAAGTCATTAGTTTTATATTTACAAATATAGTCTTGGTTAACAACATCATCTTTTGTTAAGTTGATGTAATTTTTCTCTATCGGCAAAGTAATAATAAAAAGGTGTTTTCGAAGATTTAAACGTTGGTAGATATATTTTTCTCAGCGTTCGACATTTTGAATGTCATAGAAAACTTTATAGCCGTTTATGAAATATATATGTAATCATTACTATTATCTGGTTTGCATTAATAAATAACAGGTCGTGATGCGATAGTAAAACTTATTTGATATGTTAATATTTGAGTTTTTCTAAAATATCGGCTTTCTAAAATCCGCGGCACGCTAATTTATATTATTTGCATATATTTTTGTACATTTGGTTTTTATTTACATTTAAATTTTGATACCAGATATTAAACGTTGTAGTTTCATAAATATTCTTCATCATATAATATATATTTACTTTCTATGCTAAAATTTATTTATTTTATATAATAAATATTAGTAACTATATATTATGTATGTTTGTCGATAATTTTTTTAATACAGCATCAGTCCGGAGTTTAAATCCGACCCGTCGATAGATAAAGCTCTTAAAACTAAGAGGAAACAGCTTGAATCAATGCTGGCGAGACCATTATTCCCAAAAGGATTTTCATACAAGTACCCCACTCTAAACGAACCTAACGCATTACAAGTCACCTCTGATGAAAAAGCTTTAGAGGTAAATATAATATTATTACTAAAATATACTAAAAATTAGGAATATTTTTAACACCGCCATTTTGTTTCCAGGTCATGAAAAAGGCAATACAGAGCGGTGAACTCAAAAAGGAGAAGCGGAAAGGGAAAAACGCGCCGTTACTGAAATTAGAGAAGATTTTTAAAAATAAAAAAATGTTGTAACTTAAATTGCTTACATATTTATTTGATATGGCAACATTACTATAATTAACAATAAAATAAGCTATATATAATACTTAAGAATATTTCCTATAGCTAAATAAATTTCTAGTGCTGAACAAATTTAAGTTATTATACATTCTTAGAAATAAAATTTGTCAAAACAAAAAATAACCTAAAATTATACTTAAAGCTGTCAAAATTATTTCGTTATTTAAAGATTTGCCGCCATTTTCCGAATTCCAGACATTTCCTAAATTATATGAGCTGTCTATACACGAACTCGTTACATTTAACGATCTATTTTTCGCCACACACGAGTAGTAATGTGCTGAGTTCCTCGCAGTCCTTTTCCTTTTTGGATCTTCAAAATTAACTTCGTACAGACCAAATTTACTACTGGAATAGACAAGAAACAGAAAATTGTTTATGGTATATAAAAAAATGTACAGAAAAGAAAGTAATAAATACATGTAAAAATAAATAATCAAATAAACGCTTTTATTCCATTCGACAAACTATCATATTTTCTTCACACATTACTCAAGATTATATTTCATGCAACAAATAAAAACGTTGACATTAGCAGAATATTGTAATGCAAGTTAGGTAACAGCATAAAAAAAACTATTTCATTTTAGACATATGTATTAGTTTCATAAAAACTGTAACTTACTTGTATCCGTTGTTCCATTCAAAGTTATCTTCTAGTGACCAAGCAGTGAATCCTATGACGCTCACGTTGTCAACATTTATCGATAATAAAACCTAAAAAAAAACGTGATTTGATGTTTTTCAATGTCTAAAGATTTTTTTTCGTTTTATGTCGAGTTACTATAATTGTTGGAGTATATAAATGAGAATTGTTTGAGGATTAAATGAAGAGTGTTTGACATTAAACTATTCGCATGGCTGCAAAACTACATTTTTATATAGGTATATTTTCTTTTATCAAAATTTTGTTTTAATGGTCATTCTAAAATATCTGTTTCAATCGTCTTTTCGCAGAATATATAGCTCACCTGTTCTAAATGGTCTCTAAAGAACTCAGTTCTTTTATAATCCTTGAGATCGTATCCCGCGGTTGAGAAGCCACATTCTGTTATAAGAATATCTATATCACCGTAACTTTTCTTCAACCAGGACAATAAACGACGCAGACCTACTGGATATACCTTGAAATTAAAGAATATTTGATAGAAACATTACATAAATCAAAGAAATTAATTTAATTTATACTTACCGGTAATACTTCTAGAGCCCCATACCAAGTATTATTCGGATGTACCAAAATTGCGTTCAATTCCGGTACTCCGGTTATGAAGTAATATCCTGGATCTTCGCCAGGTTTAATAGGTCTTATAAAATTGGTCGTATAATAGTTCACGCCGTAAAAATCAGCCGTACCTGAATATTATAAGAAATACATATGAAAATCTTGTTATCAAAATCAGTAATAAAATAATGAATGATAGTTGACCTCTTACAAATTCCTTCTCTTCTTTAGTAAATGTCGGTAATCTTGATTCCTTGTAACCTTGTTTCAAACTATATTCAAGTAAGACTTTTTCGAGTACTGGAGGCCAACCGCCCTCTTTGGAAAATATTGGATGGGAATATCTACCAATCTAGAAAATGATATTGGATATAACTTTACAGATTTTTATTAATCTTTAAGATGTTTTTATCTTACCCCATGTTCTCTGCCAAGCTCAGCAAGTTCTTCGTTATTTGAATGGTACGGCTCCAACCAAAGCAGATTATTAGCCAAAGATACCTTCCCTAGAAACAATTAAATACGATTTTACTATTTGACTTTAGTTGAATCACTACTACATAATATTATAAATGCGAAAGTAACTCTGTCTGTCTGTCTGTCTGTCTTTTACGATTTCACGCCTAAGCCACTGAACTGATTTTAATGATATTTGGTACAAAGATAGAGTTGACCTTGAGAAAGAAAATAGGATAGTTTTTTTATCCCAGACTTTTGAAAGGTTCTCTCTTAATAAACGAACTCCACGCGGTCAAGGCTGCGGGCGGAAAGCTAGTTTTATATAAACTATGCAATACATTACCTCCATACTTAGGTTTAAACTCCTTTTCATATATCCTATACGCATGCGCATGCGCCATTAAAATGTGTTTATTGCAAAGAAATGGTGCAAGGACATCTTCCTTAGCGGTAACGTATATTCCAGAGTTGTAAAAAAAATCACATTGAACGATAGCTTCGTTTATTGTAAACCAGGTTTTAACTCGATCACCGAAAAGGGAAAACACGATTCTGGCGTAATGTGCAAACCATTTCACTATCAAAGGATTGGTCCACCCACCTACATTACAAAAATAAAAATATAATTTAAATTATTAACGAACACGTCTTTTAAGCTGGTTATAATTTATAAATAATGAAATTTTATATTTAAATCTTGAAAGGAAAAAACGAAAGCATTTCATTTTAAAATCCTCGTATTCGTGTAGAATTTTATCAAACAATTGTTGAAACAGTTGGAATTAAGATTGTCAATACAAATTACAAACTATTATTAGATATATTAAACTAAGACTACATTATGCTGGAATTTGCATTATTTTCTGTATGGAATTTTGTTTTTTATAGAGTTTTATGTACTTGCAAAGACAATAATTAAGAAGTTTGGAACAAAGTAAGTAAGGAGTTGAATTACCAAGTTCGTGAATTATAATAGGCGCCTCCCAATGATAAAGAGTGACGACAGGTTCAATACCAGCACTCAGAAGACCGTCTATAAGTTTATTGTAATATTTCACACCAGCTTTGTTTATTTTATTTGAAAAACCATTTGGCAGAATCCTTGGCCAGTTTATTGAGAATCTAAAAAAAAAAGACATACAAAATATTAAAATTTATTTAGATGAGATATAAATTATAATATAACGATTTTATGTTATGATGAGAAAAAGAGTTTTTTTTAAGTCACTGTAGTTTTTATTTATTTATTTTATTTAAATGTTAGTAAATGAGTTCTTGAAAATCCGATTTGCTTCAGTCAAATAGTGTTTATATTTTAATAATAGTAGATATAAAAAAAATTAAGAGTTTATTATAACAATTTTCTGGTAATACTCATGTTAACAGTGAATAGTGAGTAGTGACAAGGTAATTCGTCCCTGCCTGATACGTGCGTAAATGGTTAAGGAAAATGAGATTCATATTTATATGTTATTGTAGCTGATTTTGTCCTCATAATAATTACCGATAAAAGTGCAGGCCCATTTCCTTTATTATCTTAATGTCTTCTTTCCACAAATGATATGAATCAGTCGCGATATCTCCGTTTGTGTTATTCATTATTTTCACACGATTCCGGTGAATGTAATCGTCCCAAACGCTCGGTCCCTTACCTGATAATAGATTATATTTTACAAATTATAGAGCAAATTGTACTTTGATTACAGGTCATTGAACTTTCAAAATATTTAGCATATATACCTAGTATGAAATATTGAAGATTTCTTTTCGAGTATCTTATAAATCTATATCGTTGTCAAGGCTTGAGAAAATTGAGATATTAAATATGAGAATGTTTTGTTGGTCTGTGCATGTAATTCAATCATTTTAATGATATGTAAAACGTACGCAATGTTACATTTGAATATCTGTAATATATTTTATGAATGGTGAATATATTTCAGTGAGTATTAGATAAATTTGTATAGCCACATCACACAAGGAGCGATTTCCGTTTTCTTGTAAATCCACGCGTGTCTCAACGTCAACTTAGTTTTATGAATTGAGAATGGGTTATTCGTATGTACTTTCAATAATCCAACTTGTGAGTTGTGTTATAAACATAATGATATCGAAACTTTTCGGATACTACGCGTTATATATTATTTATAACTTCATAATCCCCACGTTTTAATTACTTTATATCAACAGTGTAATTGATACTCCACTGAGTTCGTCATTGATATAATTAAACATACTTATTAGATTATAATTTGCCAAATGTTTAAAAAAAATTGATTAATTTTAAAGGGCTCACCATCATCATTCCACCCGCCTTCTATTTGGTAAGATGACGTCGCGGCGCCAAATTTAAAATTCGGTGGAAACTCAAGCTCTGAACCCGCCAAAACTCCAAGAAGGGAACTGAAAAGATATTTATTTTAATCATTTGTATGTTTGCATAATATTCCCTTGAAAAATATAATTCCTCTCCTCTTTAACAACATCTTTCAAAAAAGACGAAGTTTAACTTATGAAATACTAAATAGTCAATTTCAAAATGATTTCAAACAAGTAATAGTAACTGACGATCTGTCTTAATATTATAAAAATATTTATTAAAATAAAGAAAATATCGTAATATAATAAAGTTTTTAATATATATTTTTTTCATAAGAAAATATATATTTTCTAAGGTCCGTTATATTATTTTCAGCATTTTTTTAGGTTCGTTGTAAAATAAAACAAGATAGTTTTAAATTTAAATTAATATTTTCGATTTTTTTTTTCAAATCTTTTTATATACAGTGCTAGTAAGTGGTGGCCTAGTGGTTAAAAGGCCCGCCTCTCATGCACCAGGGCGCGAGTTCGATCCTGGCAAGTACCAATGTGATTTTTCCGAGTCAAATGTACGTTCTAAGAGTATTTAGACATCACTGATTAATGCATTCTCAAAGAGGGTTGATGTCAGACAGGCGGCCGGTCGTAAAATCAGTTAACCAAAACTATTCACAACATGTAAGGCAGACCCTGGCTAAAGCTAGGAAATTGCCAGGTAGAAGAAGAAGTGTTAGTAATAAACATCCTAACATAGTATTAGAAGGTTTCTCGATTATTTTGTAATATATTAATGACTAATCATAGTGGTCATGTAACAATATGTTAATAGGCTACAATTAAAGTTAACATTTTAATATCTAAGTCAGGGTTGTCCACACTGGATAGCTTTTAATGCTAATAAAAATTACTAATTACTTTGGGAGGTCGCGTTAAAAACTTTTTGCTTTTC